GAGATGTTTATTTGCCTTTTCTCCAAAAACCTCATAAAAGAGATAATGATCAAGGCAGGAGGATATTCAATCTCATCTGTATGATGAAGAGAGAGTATGAACACTTCAAGAATTACTTACTATGAGTGGATGTGCTTCCTTAGAGAATACTTTATCAACAATCTTTCAAATCATAGTTCCTTTGAGAAGTATTATGTGAAATCTTCAAGTTGAAGCAAACAATAAGCAGGGTTGCTATAGTGGAGTTCCCGTCTGAAGAGCAGGAGAACAACTCGGCTCGGAGAATCTTCAAGGCCGAGCTTGTTGACGATTTTGTTGATGAATGATTCAATCTTCACTTAAAGCACCCAGTCAATCCAATCCATCCAGTTGATTGTGTTGAATTTCAAAATTCGTGGATTTACAACTTTTCCCAGTCACCCTTGGAGAAAGAGAGCAAAGACTTCTAGATGCGCCAAATTTCTCGGACCACAAGTCAAGTCAATCTAACCATTTGACACAATGGCCTGTAGAGAATGAAGATTTATCTCTCCTTATATCGGTTTAGGAAATGCGGAAAAGGCTCCAATAACTCTGATAAGGCTCCGAGCAAGAATCGTGATGCTTCAAGTATCTAGACAAGAGATCGATTTCCAGTGCGAATATCGATCAGATCCTATTCCAATATTGCTGAGTTAAATGCATGAAAAATGCAAGTCCCTGATCCTTATCTTGGAATAAGCAAAATGGAACAGTATAATGCTTTTTTGGAAGTTCCAAGAGTCAAATCTTATGTAACGGCGTTTGCTTCCTAACTCGAGAATTTGACTGCAGTGCTACTTGGGTTCTTGGAGAGTTTGCCGACTGCTGTTTTTTGCTGCATCATGTATTTAGTACCGGCAGTGTAATGTGGGAAGAACTCTGAGGGGTGATTTTGAGTAACGTGGGGTTATGGAAATGTTGTGCATACAAGATGGTACAAGTACTCGTAAGTGGGTTCGAAGGGTATTCTATGAAACGATGGATATGAAGTCGAATTGAACGTCGAAGTCTCGAAGTATCAATGTATTGAGTACAGAGATGATGTTCTTCTCGATGGGATTCAATGTAAATAGAGAGGGTTTGGATATCGAAACGAATGTGTGAAAGCAGAAAAGTCTAGAATTTCGAGGGTATGAGAAGTTGATGAAAAGTTGATGAAGGGGAAATGGAAAGAAGCAAACGAGCACAAGAGCGATATGCATATGATGGATGATTAAGAACTTTCGAGCAAGTAAGACTTCTTTCTTTCTGCATGTATTTCATGAATAACGCCGAGAACACCAATGTAGAGACTTGGTTATTGTTTACTTTGCGATTCTTATGGTCGATAAAAGGAAGGATCCCATATCATCGTGACTTCTTCATTTGGGAGTCGAGACGGCAATATATCATGAGCATCCGCATCAGCGTCAGCATCAGATTAGAATCGGCATAAAACCTTAAATTTCGTGGTCCTCCGATCAACTATTGTTTCTTCCCCATTTCCCTGATTCAAGCTTTTTCTGTCAATACGATTGAAAGTATTATTAGTCCTCTAGGTATATAAGGAAGAGATGACTTCGTAGCGAGGGATGTTTGCCGGTCATTGATCACATAGTGAGACTGGAGTTGAGTGCATCCTCTTTTTGTATCCCTTGCCTCGCGGATCATTCTCCACCAACCCCATACCGGATACCGTCCATATCTATGCACAAATTGCAGCTCGGACGACCTACTATTGATTTGGGCAAGAGATGTCTCAAGATTCCTGGTACACTCGAGCTGGGTATGAGCTTTCCTCTGCCTAGCTAGGTAGGTAATTGCTGATAAGAGCAAAGAGAAGGGCAGAAGATTAGATTTGGTGACAGGTTTTCAAATACTGTACATAGATGTTTAACACTTAGGTAGATAGATAGGAAGGTAGGTAGGTAGGTCGTTCTAATTAATTACCGTGCTTAATTAGACAACTAGTTAGTTCGTTCTAATTATAATTTTTGATAGTCAAAACCCAATGAAATCCATTTATTCATGGAGACTTTCCATAAAATCGTCATTTTATCCAATCATTACATCCACTATACATCCGACTATATTGACAGCTGAAAGGGACAAAAATGATCCATGAAGGTGTGAAAGGTGGTACAAAACGATGTCTTGGCATGGTTGGATCTGCAGCTTCCACTTTACGATAATGTACCTCTTGAAATAACCTCGAGCTCAACGTCCAGCTTCCACCGCTCCTTCTGTACAACGTCTCTTGGGAATGCTCTCATCCATATGCCATCCGTTGGATTGGATTCAATCGTTCGGTCGTTCGTTCGTTCGTTCTTGCCTGGTCAGCTCTCTATTGATTTGTGTGTGCATTTTTCTGTCCGTTCAATCAGCCTACGGTTATCAATCGTTTCCTGTTATGTATCCATGTCTCATGGCAGTTTGACATCTCACATTTTGACTATCATCAAGATTACGAAGTATTTCAATATGTGGGTTTTTGGGGCCTTCAATGTCTGGCGCGTACATTCTTTCTGAATTGATAAATGCATCCTTGCCCCTCTCATTAGCAGCAGTCATGTCGCCTTGCGCCGGATACTGTACAATATCAATTGGTGCATAATCTGCATTTTGGCTCGAGTATTCCATGGAACGGAACGGACGTTGTGTTGTTCAAGATGAAAAATCTTCCGAGGAGAGCTTTACTCGACGCTACTTCGGAGGTCACCGAATCAACAGCTTGCTTCAATCAAGAATTGTTTCAGTGCCATGTTTCTCTCAAAGTAGCCGTTTTATTCTTTGCTCTTCTCTCTCATCACTGCTTTTCATTTTGTCAGCTGGCACAACAGCAAATCCTCCTCTTTGTGGCCATCCTTATATGCTGTAAGAACTTAAGCAGAAGATTCACTACATATCAAACAAACCCACCTTGTGTTTGTACTTCCACCATAGGGCTTACACAAATATCTGCCCTCTCAGCATCTGTTTCTCAGCCCTCCGATGATCGCCCATCATTTGTACAACTCATCTTATCTGGACATACGATACTTCTCCATCTAGCCCATGCAGCCAGCCGTCTATCGGGCTCTTGAACCAGAACGTAGGCACCTGCAATAACCCGGCATCAATCATGTGCCAAAGCAGCCTCATACTACTCCATGGACTATGATTTCCACAGATGATTCTCACACAATGTTTCAGATAGCTGTGGAAAGTTTCACACATCATAGGGCAGAGATGGTTCCATTCATTTCACGTCCAATCATGAACATCGCTTTAGCAAGTGATGACGTATCATTACCATGTCAATTATCACCTACCTTAGTTTCTCTAAATTATGGATTCAGATCAAATACATCGATAAGGATACCAAGGCAGGTTGCCTTTATTTTCACTGGGACAGAACAAGAATTGGCTGAAGTCTGAATGGGAGTCTTTGCCAAATTAACTAAGCTGCACACAAGAACGTATACATGAGTTGTCTTTCTTGAGGCAAAGCATTGTTTGCTTGGATATTTGAGCTATTTTTTCCCCCAGACTATACTGCTGAAGGATCTTTTGACTTCGATTTCAAGAGGCTCCATCAATGACTTGACAAATCACGAGAGTATCAACCTTTCTCTCTAGTTGAGGGTTAACAATGTATTTTCAATCTCTGGAGTGGCCATTCAACAAAAATCTATGCGAACGAAATGATATTATGAACTCATTTATTCATAAAAATTAGATGATTGCACCTTGGCATATTTATCCTTCCATTCTTTACTCGCTCTTCTATAACCTTCAAACCCGAATCCAAGAAAATTATATCAAGCAAGCCCTCTTTCCAAGCCCTTACCCATTTCACCATTCCACCTGATCCAATCAAAACTAAAAAATGAATTATCACAGTCTTTCATTCTCAACACTTCTTATCGTCCGCTCACCTTTGTTTTTCTTTTCCCAAGGATTGATCAACAAGTAGATTTCGACACCAAGTGGATCCTTTGACTACACTATACTAATGCACATACTAGATATCAAGAGAGAGGCTTGTCATTCTTCAAAAGTGGAAACTGGATGTAGGGAGAGTTGCTAAACTGTTTCCAAATTGTTTTTGTTTTTCTACTTTGGAACTCAGATTACTTATAACTCAAGCTTGTGAGATATCACCGATGGACCTTGAGTGGATGTTTATAAACAAAACAGAAATCGATCTTTATAATCATTGATGATGGATTAAATTGCTAAATTATTTCTATCGTTTCTATATTCTTAAAAAATTCCACATATCTTTGATATCATACCGAAATATCCAACCCGATTTTTTGACTGTAGAACAATCTTAACTTTCATGAAGCTATTCCGCCGCTGGAGCAGCAGTCTGTTCGGCGGAGCTTCCTCCGGTCACTGAAGCACCCGGAGGTCCCGATGATGGAGCTACATCATCATATGAAATAGCCATATACTTTCCAGGATAGTATTTAGCCACCCACATTTCTGCAAGCATACTCTTTGAAATATCTTTCAAGTAGTAATTGATCGGGACACCTGAAGTACCTTCTGCAGCTTTCTTGAGATAATCTTCAAATGCAGTCATCATAGAATTGATATCGATAATCGTATTCGAATCATCATCTATCTCCGCCAGAGTCGGAGGGAGGATTTAACATCGCTGGCTTTCATGGACATCATTTGGGCACCTGTGCGCGCTGCCTCTGCCGCCTGCGAAACTGTGCCTTGATTGGCTTGGGTAGCGTTTTGTAGGGCTGCTAGTCGGTCAAGACTTGATTGAGGATCAAATTTGGCAAATTTTTCAACACCCGGTTTGACGCCGTTGGACACCGTAGAGGGAATAGCTCCCATGCAGACCATGGTCACGCGAGAATTTATATTCTGGGAACTGAGCAGACTTTTGACGCTGTTTGCCATAGACGAGTTTGCGCCAAACAAACCCGCCAGCTTGACCTTCGTAGAACTTGGGAAGATCCATTTGTTGTTGAAGCGGTTTCACCACGCTGTTCATCTTGTCACTGGCCGGCCATCGTGCTTGTACTATTCAAGATATGCACCATACCCATGAAACTGGATCCAAACGACGTTCCTGAAATGATGCTGAATTTCTTAGCATCGGGAGAATTGGATTCGTCCTGTTGAGCAATTTGCAACATATTGCTTGTGCTAGTCGGGACAATCTTGTCGTCTTTAAAAAGATGATTCCAGACTTTAATTGCTCTGTCGACATTGAGCGCGAAAGGAGTTAGAACGGATGCATTCTTATGCGTACAAGAAACGGGAATCACACGAGTACCCGAAATACTATGTTTGGATACTTGATCACTAATCCGATTTGCAGCAGCTCGAGTCATCTGCGCCGCAACATCGTTGCCAAGCCATTTCATCGTGGCCGATACATATGCGGAGACATAACTCGCCAGCGATTTCGACTCTTGACTATTCGTATCATTGGTAAAATTCCGGACATCCATGTTTATCGAATCGGAAGCCAACGGCATGCTTTTGATTTGCGTTTTGACCTCGTCTACTGGATTTTCCATATTCACATGCACGCTTCTGATTTGTGCGCGAAGCGGCTGGATCTTCTCTTTGGAGTTTAGTTTTCTCCTCTGCGTATTTGGATGCGGCGTTTGCGAATCGATGCGGGAGTCGAGTTTCTCGATTGAGTGGCTGATGTTGCTGGTGTCGATGTCGAGATTCATTAGATTAGTTTTGTGCGGGACATTTCGAGACTGTGTTTGGCGGTTGAGAGGGTATTCAGTTCTTCTTGAGCGGCGTCGATGGGAGCTTGGAAGACGCAGATTTGAGATGCGATTTGGAGAGCTTTGTTGCTGATTATGTTGGCCATTACTAGTGATGGATCGTAGGGGATTGAAGAAGGGATTTTGGAGGATGGTTCTTTGGATTGTTCTTTGGATTGGTAGAGGGAGAGGAAATAGGAAAGAAAGCCAATTGCTTTGATGATGGAGATAGGGAGCTGTTTGTTTGTTATGCTTATTTAGAAGCTGTTCATCTAGTGGTGATGGTTTTGATCGTTGTGGGTTTTTGGGGGAGATTGTTGGAGGGAATGTGCGAGTCTCGAGGTAGGTAGTCTATATACTTTCGTTTCAGAGTGTTCGTTTTACATACTCACTTCAATGTTCGTGTCTTGGGTCTCCAGATGCTGTCATGAAATGAAAAATGTGCAGGCTGGCTGATTAGAATCGTCATCGGAAGCTGAAGGTAACGCTTACCTAGGTACTCCTAAGATGACGATCAGATTTCTCAGAGAGAACCTCTTTTGTTTATTCTCGTCAGATTTGGATTCCCTCTCATGTGTTTTTTTGACTGAATAAATTAGGGGGTGGAATTAACGATAGCAAATTCATAGAAAGAGAGTACTCAGCTTATTTGGAAAGTCACTCTCGAGACGGGATCTACCATGCATCTCACCATCTACTCTACCCTCACTATTCCCACCAAAGACTTTGATTACTACGAAGAATATCTCAGTATCTAATCTTTTTATATAATAACCAACAATCCTACGTTCCTTGATTCGACAATTTGTTCTATGAACCCGTAGTATATTTATATCGTTCGCTAAGTCTAGGCGTATGAGGCTGCTCATCATGATCACACGATAGACCCATGCGTAAGAGGCTACTCATCACTCGATAGACCTATCTATTCGTTTGAGTTGCTATAGTCGAAAGAAAGTCGCGTGTGAAAATAAGCGTGCTGGCAATTGTTGGGATGTTGGCTGGTTGTTTGTTTCACTGCTGTGGTTGCTGATGTGTATATATATATATATATATATATATATATATATTGGAGAGAAGAGGGCGTTGTGGTAAGAGGAGAGAAAAATTAAGGTTCTTAGCGTTTATTGGGGGGCTTACTGGGACTGAGATCAGGATTGAAGAGAGGAAAGTCTATATTTTCTTGTATCGGGTGGGATGGGTTATAGATGAGGCTTGATTCTTGAATGGGATTATATCGTTAAGTATTATAGTATTTTCGGATAGGAATAGTTTAGGAAATAGAAGAGGAGAAGTGAGAGCTATGGGTTTGGATTTGAGTTTAAAGTTAGGACTGATTGGTTTTTTTTAGTTGGAAGTGGTGGCAGTATAATTTAACGTGGTGAGGAGAATATTATGGGTCGGGCAATAGATGAGTTGAAGAATGATGAGAGGAGACTGTTGGTGTAAGTTATAAGGAAGATGGGACGGCTGGATGAATAGCAAGATAATGTGATGGGAGTGAAGTTATGCTACGCGGTATTCAGAGTTTTCTATATACTTGGGTATGTCAGGAACTTTGGATCATTTGTATTATCTCTCGTGATTCTCTCGGAATGGGGTTCTGTATAGTGAGAACTGAATGGGCTGAGGAAGTGAGGATTGAGTAGGTCAAGGAAGAACATCATGCAATATCCCTTCGAGGGTGTATAAAGCATTGAAGACAACATCAACCCTCTCCTCGAAAGTAAACGTTCGCCATGACATCGAATCGTGTCTCTCAATGTCCCAAGAGTACCACAGCTCTAGAAATTCTCTGAGACTCAGCATTCCACGAAATATATATATATGTGCTTTCGCCTCTCAAAATACTATGCAGTTCTGATACTTTTCAGATCACATAGTTACTACACCAAACCCTCACCTCGTCCAACAATATAACCCAGTAGTTCCAGCTAGGTTTTTCAAAGTACCTAGCTCATGAGAAGAAGATTGTTCTCTTTCTATAGCGAAGATTGAGAATTTGCATCACTCTCGACATCTCACGCGATGAAACTATTTCCGAAGTCCAATAGATCAGAGTACAAGTTACTCTACGGAGCTAAATAAGTATCGGGAAGAGAAACAGAACAATCGAAGACTTCAACACCAGGTTTTTCCTATTGCTAAAAGATTCAGAAAGTATGGATGGCCTTGTAACCACGTTGAAAAGAGTAGAAAGCTCTTCCTCAGAACACTGTGTATATTCATCAGGTAACACATCAAGTTCCAACTTTGATAGTTGTCTATATGTAAAATCTTACCTATCTGGATATTGTATAGATAGGTAGGAATCTAACATAACAGTGTTGAGTGAAGACATTATCGCGTTGAAGATATGAGATGCAAGTTCTTGTCAAGGAAGTCTGGAATGACATTTAGTATTTAGTCGTTGTATATGTATACAGATTCTGCATTCTTATCATCTGCTGAGGTTTCGAGTTGCGATTCTTTATTTGTTTTTTTATTCATTTTCTCATGCTTTCATATAAATATTCTTACAGTCGTTAATAATATATCTACCACAATTCACGTTTGTATCTTATACTTCCTTCCTGGATAAACTGTACACTCCCCTTCGCACAATTCACGATCTCAATCCATTCCAACCTATCCCCTCCCACCAGTTTCTTCTCTCCTCTCTCCTCCCCCTCTCCCTATCCCATCCACCACCCTGCAACCCCCCCCCCCCTCCCCCAAAAAACAAATCAATCCACCTACCAAGCAAACACACACCCCAGAAAATCCTCTCCAATCTACACACTAAAATCAAACATACTCACAATTTTCCATCTCATCCCCATCTCATCCATCTCTCACTTCTTTCTATATATCCGCACTATAAATCCCCCTCCCTCCCCATTCCTCTCCACCTCCCATTCAACCCCCCATCACCCCCCGCATTTTATGCTAAAATCCCGGATAAATGATAAATGATAAATGATAAATAAATCCCATCCCTAATTTTCCAATTCTCTCGACCTTCCTTTTCAAACTCCAAGTTTGGTTTATTTACTAATATAAGATTACATAGGTACTCAAATATCATATCATACCATACATACCGTACAAACTAAGAATGTAGATAGATAGATACATCATTACCTAGAATTACCTATAATCGTCACATTTATTTTCCTATTTTCCTATTTTCTATTTCCCATTTCCACATCCCCATTTCACTAAAACCAAAAACCAAAAGAAAAATCAAATCTACCTAGACACCTACCATACAAGGAGAAAAGGAAAGCGATCCTGCGGTCCTGAATCCCGAGAGTCGATAAATACCACCACACCACACCACACCACACCACACCACACCACACCACACCACACCACACGACATATCACACCCCATATATCCCGGAGAATTATACCTTTAGGTACCTACTCTATGTAGACTCGTGTGATGGGACATGCATTTAAGCATTCTAGATTTTAAGAATGATATTGTGATCTGGGGTGCATAGGCTAAATAGAATTTGGATGGGGTAACCTTACTCCGTAGAATGTCATTATTGCATTGCATTGCGTGGGGTACCTAGGCTAGGGTAGCGATAGATGAGTGTTAAGGTTACTGCGGGGTGTGATTTCTGTAACCGGTACACTGGTATGGATTTAGAATTGGGAGATAGGTGGAGATTTAAATGTAGATTGAGATTGAGATTGGAGAACTATGTACAATAGAGGAGGTAGAAGAGAAGAGAAGAGAAGAGAAAAGAAAAGAAAAGAAAAGAAAAGAAAAGAAAAGAAAAGAAAAGAAGCGGAAATGTAAACTATAAACTTCGTATCTGCCACGATTTCTCCTAGTCTTCCTCGTGCATCTCCTCATCTATTTCCAGGAATTTAGAGACACTGTGTGATGGGTTTGTTAGTCAAGAAACCTCATCGCATCACACACAAAGCAGAAAGGAAAACAATAGTTCAAACTTACCTGCCAGTAATATGAATTCCCAACCATACACTTATAAGGCGCGGCACACGAACCACCCTTCGTATAATCGAAACTCAGACCTCCGCATTGTGCGTATCGCGGAAGCGCTTTGAGTGCTGGTAATGCGAGGATTTTCTGGCTTGCGTGTTCGGCTGCGATGACTATGAGAGAGGAGGGGTTTGTGGAGGGCATGCCGGGGAAGATTGATGCGTCTGAATTGATTAGTGGATATTTACTCATGGAGAAAATTGGGGATTTGCTCTGTGGGAAAGACGAAAGAGATGGGGAGGAATAGGATACATACCAAGCACATGAATATTATCCGTGCCATAAACAAGCGCGTTGAGGTCAACCACAGAAGTACCTCCTGCTAATCCCGAATCCGTTCCCATCTTCGCAGTTCCTAGCCAATGGTTTGCTCTTCTCGCCCCAATATTCGCATATGTAAGCGGTACACTCGCCACGTACTGTGCGCCCGTCATCCCCGGTTTTGGATAGATAAATGTGAGATTCTTGACTGTTGAAAGTGCGGCTACCACATGATCAATAGCTGTAGCTACTGCTGCGAGATCATATGTATTTCCCCAAGGCATGGTAGAAACGGACATTGTGAGGCCCTTGCTGATTGTTGTACGTCCTCGTGGACCGACTTGGCCACGGCCAAGATAAGAGGAGAGAGTCATGGCGGTGGGAATGTCGCCTTCGACGCGAGCAGTCCACTGGATGGCGCGGGGAATTCCGTCGCCGGGAGTTACTTGGTCCCAGAATATGGGGCCGATGTCGGGAGCTGCTTGGGCGAGAGGACCGGTGCGTTTGGTGAGGTAGGAGGTAGCGTCTGCACTTATAGGTGTATTCCATGCTGCAACCCAATCATAATAGGAGATATTCGGATGCGAGATTTGTGTATCGGTATTGAGATGATCGTCGAGGTTATAACCGACTGGCAGGTTGTACCAGTAGCTGGAGTTTATCATTGTTGGTCCGTCGGTAGAGGTAAGGACCACATTTAGCTGATCTGTGGGACCTATTCCACTTCTGAAAAGGAGCTTGGGAGTTCCGAAAGCACCGGCTGATATTATGACTCGACCTGTGACTGGAGTCAGGCTGACTACTCCTTGTCTGCCTCCATTGTTTGTGGCTTCCACTTCTATACCAGTTGCATGTCCTCCATCACGAACAATTCTCTTGACACTAGTATTGAGCCACATGTGAAAGTTCGAGCGTTTGTTTGCATCCACTAGATAAGTTGCTAGTGGACCACCACGCTCTCCATTGATATACATGTATGGTGCATATGCAAATGTTCGATTCTTCTGAGCCGGTACACTGTTCGCCGTAACATTTGTCCAGCCAGCATTTTTGAGACCACCTGCGACAACATTATATCCTGATTGAACATATAGTTTACCATCCATTGAGGGATGATCCGTGCCGGGAATCGTGCTGAAGACTCTCGAGGTGGCGGCTGCTACATCTTTTGATTGCCACCCAGGGGGGAAGTTGTAATCCCAATCTGATGGATCTGGATTCCACCATAACCCTGCATTGACGGCAGTACCTCCACCTAAAACGCATCCAGCCATTTGATCGATATCATCACAGGCGACGCCAACACTTCCGCCGTGCCAGATCCTATTGCATTCTCCCGGAACATCAAACCACGTAAGATTACTTCCAGAAAGCCAACCACTTTCCGGTCGAATTGCTAAGCATTGTTAGCGGATGCAATACTGAGATTATCCTAGTACTTACTCCCACCCCATCTGGCTGAAGAAGCGACCCCCTTTTCGATCAAGAGCACGGACTTTCCACTTTGCGCAAGTTTATCTGCCATCGGTACACCTCCAGCCTAGAGCAAACAATTTCAGTATGCACATTTCCAATATTCGCACAAAAAAATGACGACATGAGAGCTAGTCCAAGAACCCATAAGAAAATGAAATCTTATGACTTCTCTCTTCAATGACGAGAAAGTACTGGGAAAAGTAGCCATACGTACCCCTCCGCCAACGACAATATAATCGTAGGATGTGGAAGTCGGTATCGGTGATGTAGAATAAGTGGCTGTCGCAGTGGCTGTACCGGTGGTTGCTGTGATAGTGGCGGTCATCGTAGCCCAGTTTGAATAGGATGACTGGGTTGCAGAAGCCACCTTGATGGAAAACTCGCCCATGCCATTATTGTGCTCTGCAGCTATTAGTAAATATATAGCAAAAGGTAGCTTTCAGAGGAAACTGTATTGTATGTGCCACCAAATGCACGCAACTATTGTTGATAATTCCAAAAGATGTCAAATTAAACAAAATTCTTACGATATAAAACCGCATTAGCAGGATCGGAAGGGTTATCTGGAGCGCCAATGTTTTGAGCCCACCCGTACTCGAAGCCACCTGCCGATGTGCTAACATTGTATGCTGTTTGAGTTGGATCATCGAACTTGAAGCAGTTTGTACATTTGTAAACGAGAACCCAGTGTGTGGAATTTATCGAGGTGTAAAGCTGTGTTACGCTTGCAGACCCGCCATATAGCACGGGTGTGGCATATGAACTATTCAAGATCTATTAGCTTATTGCATGCGATGGATGTGGATATGAAAGTACATAAAAGGACTTACCCATAACGGAATGAAGTAATTATTTTGCCATTATAAGGCCAAGCAATCAACAGCAAATGTCCAGGCATTGCAGCACTGAGTTGTTGACCATGAACAACACCACTCCATCCTGTACCATTTGGAAGTGATCCAATCTTGTTTCAATTAGCTGTTGGACCATTGAGGCAATGTATGGAACTTACAATCAAGCCAATGTAATCATAGGAGTCTGTAGTGAGTGCACTGGGTGGCAATGCCATTCCAAAGGTGTAACCCCCTTGTGAAACCAAAGAGAACTCCCCATCACCCACGATCGTGCCATTAGCTTCGGTACTTGTGTAGAATGTAATGCCAGTATTCGGCTCGGTATAATAGCCATGCGCCGCGAAATCTTGACTTGATACCTCACGAACGGCTAGAAGTTATTAGAATGTGTGTGTGAGTATTATATTTTGGGGTATAAAACCAACCATAAGAAGCAATGGCAACAATGCCATAGAGTAGACCCGAGAGCCGCATATTGGTACCTTTTCACAAAACTTTCCTGGAAATGTACATAGGGAGTGATCTCAGAGAAGGCGTTCTAACATGGGCAGACGATCCTACCTATATACAGGTTCAAGAAGAGCATGCCTAGTAGCCATTCAAAATTTCGTGATAAGTGCCGGATGAATTAAATCAAACTACTCGGCGGGAAATGGAGAAGTATGCATTTTTGGGAGACAAAAGGAAGGAGCCAAGATTTCTCCGGTTTTTGAAGGACAGGCAGGCCATTATCCGTTTGGTCGGTTGAGCAATATTTCTTACTATTGTAAATTATACGGATGGTCTTCCCGGAGAACGTGATACATGAAGGATGGAATTTTATTAAATCCCAATATATTTTGATATAAGTCGGCAGCGTACAGACTTTCTGCCGGTATTCATCCTGTTCATCACATACTCTCGAAATGACCACGAGGTACTCTGCCGGCAAAACTGTGGGGAAGGAGGCTTGACATCTTATAACTTGTGATATATACAAGGGAGTTTCAACCTCATTGCCACAAGTGAAAAGAAGGATTGCATCAGACTGAAGTGCCAAGAAAATATCAAATTATCCATCTAGTGCGCTGCATGTTGCCGAATGCTGGGGCATGAAACAACCACAACATATTTTGTACCACTCAGATCATCTCAAATATATGGTTCCAGAAGCACACATATATGATATATAATGGTAACGTGCAGGTTTACCGTCTAGATGAGACTTCAAGAGAGCATCCATGTGAATGAAGGCACTGTGCAGATCATATATATGTATATATATATGAAATGTTGCTCTATGGAGCTTGTCCCCATGAATAGAAATGAATCAAACGATTGGAATGACGCTCCGCTAGCCCTCCGGGAGCCACTGCCGTGGAGGCAGAATAATTGGCAAATATGGCATTGATTTGTTACCTACCGTTTTATGCTACAGTTAGTATTGTATGAGAAAACTGTAGCAGAATTCTTCTGGGAAAAGCGGCAAAAACTAATTCCGGTGTTTGATAAAACCACTTGGTATCCTCCTTGTTGAAGAGGTCCATTCTGAAGGCGACTACAGCTCGATGCTTCAGATCCAGATGCTAGCTGTCATGATGTCGATGTTCGGAAGCTTACAAATATCAAGATAAAGTATGATGTTGGTGGTATAAGAGGCGAAACTGTCTTGTTGATGTTACTCGAGGATACCTTGGGGGAAGTTCTCCACTTCAGGTGAGGGTCTTGCCGGTTTTTCCTTGCCCCATTCCCGAATACGAAATTTGCCTAGATGTGCAAAGGCCAAAACCATAAAACCATATCGATCTTCTGTGTGGAAATTGATGACAATCCAACCATTCAATATTTTTGGTTGAAAGTTGGATGAGACGATTCCTTTCCTCTTGATATAGAAGTAAGGGTGATCATGAAGATATTGGGCTCTTGACAGAATTATCACAACGGATTCAACCCAAGGGCTTCCTAATAACGTTGCAGTTTGGCAGATTCTGGTGTACGTTTTTTCCCGGCTTTCGGCTACTCGTGGTCGGAACGTTCAATGACCAGAATTGGAAATAGATTTCTCTGATTGGTTCGATTGATTAAAATTCCTGACTAAGCGAGCATCGAGCCATCATCGTTATGGTTTAATCCCGAATTTGAAGATTTGGAAACGCCCTTGGACTAACCTGAGTTGCCTCCATTGCCATTCTCTAAAAAGGTCCATAGTAGAGAAAGAGAAAGATATTAATTCTGGTGTTGCACACTCTTCTCCCCTCTTCTTTCTATCCATAATAATTCTACACAATGTCTTCATTTGCTATGCGTAGATTCACATCTGGTCCTTCGGTATGTTCCATTCTCTAACCTCGGGCCCCGCGTTCGTGGTAAGAACAGAAGAAGAAAAGAAGAATAACAATGCTGATCTGTTGACCATGATTGCAGTTCTCGAGGGCACTGAAGAATCAAACTAGATCCTTCTCATCGACGAGACCTGCAGGTAGATCTGCCACAACTCTCAATATTCAGACCATTGGCTAATATCCAATCTGCAGCTCGAATCATTACACATGCGCCACTAAGAGCAAAGGAAGCCTCGCCTTTCGTGAGCAATAAATACCCGGTCGTTGTACGTATCTCGAATTTTTCAGTGAAGGGTTGTCTGATTATTTGGCGCAGGATCACGAATATGATGCTATTGTCATCGGTGCTGGAGGAGCAGGTTTAAGAGCAGCATTCGGTCTTGCCGAGGCTGGTTTCAACACTGCATGCATATCAAAGCTTTTCCCAACTCGATCACATACGGTAGCCGCGCAAGGAGGTATCAATGCTGCTCTGGGTAACATGCACGAGGACGATTGGAGATGGCACATGTACGATACCGTCAAGGGTTCGGATTGGTTGGGAGATCAGGATGCTATTCATTACATGACAAGAGAAGCGCCAGCATCTGTCATTGAGTTGGAGAACTACGGTTGCCCATTCTCAAGAACCGATGACGGCAAGATGTAAGAATGACTCTGGTAGCTCATTTGTGGTATTTTACTAACAATGTCTATCTAGTTATCAACGTGCTTTCGGTGGTCAATCACAAAAATTCGGAAAGGGTGGACAAGCATACAGATGTTGCGCAGCTGCTGACAGAACTGGACATGCACTTCTCCACACTCTCTATGGTCAATCCTTAAGGCATAACACCAACTACTTCATCGAATACTTCGCGCTCGACTTGATCATGGAGGATGGAGAATGTAAGGGTGTTATTGCATACAACCAAGAAGATGGTACCCTCCACAGATTCCGCGCACACAACACTGTCTTGGCCACCGGTGGTTACGGACGTGCCTACTTCAGTTGTACATCCGCACACACTTGTACTGGTGATGGAATGGCTATGGTTGCTCGTGCCGGGTTACCTAACCAGGATCTTGAATTCGTTCAATTCCATCCTACTGGTATTTATGGCGCTGGTTGCTTGATTACTGAGGGTGCTCGTGGTGAGGGTGGATATCTCCTTAACTCACAGGGTGAAAGATTTATGGAACGTTACGCACCAACCGCCAAGGATTTGGCGTCCCGTGACGTTGTTTCTAGATCAATGACCATGGAAATCAGGGAGGGACGTGGTGTTGGTCCAGAAAAGGATCACATCTATCTTCAACTCAGTCATCTTCCACCTGATGTTCTCCATGAACGTCTCCCAGGTATCTCTGAAACCGCATCCATTTTCTCCGGCGTCGATGTTACAAAGCAACCTATCCCAGTTCTTCCAACCGTCCATTACAACATGGGTGGTATCCCAACCAAGTACACTGGTGAGGTTCTCACTGTTGACGCTGAGGGTAAGGATAAGGTCGTACCAGGTCTTTTCGCATGTGGTGAAGCTGCTTGTGTTTCCGTACACGGTGCCAACCGTCTCGGAGCTAACTCACTTCTCGATTTGATCGTTTTCGGTCGTGCTGTATCCCACACCATTCGCGATAACTTCGAACCAGGAATGCCACACAAGGAGATCAGCGCTGACGCTGGTGCTGAATCTATCAGTGTCCTTGACCAAATTAGAACTGCTGATGGTACCAAGAGCACACACGAAGTCCGTCTCGCCATGCAAAAGACCATGCAGACAGACGTCAGTGTGTTCAGAACTCAAGAGAGCTTGGATGAAGGTGTCACAAAGATTAACGCTGTTGATCAAACATTCAAGGATATTAAGACTCAAGACAGAAGCATGATCTGGAACTCGGATTTGGTTGAGACTTTAGAATTGAGAAACTTGTTGACTTGCGCGTAAGTTTTCCCTGCGTATATTTCCGGAACTTACCGAATTATATACTAATTTTATACAGTGTTCAAACCGCCGAGGCAGCTGCCGCTAGAAAGGAATCTCGTGGAGCACATGCTCGTGAAGATTACCCAGAGAGAGATGATAAGGAATGGATGAAGCATTCTTTGACCTTCCAAAAGAAGCCACAAGGAAAGACCGATTTGACCTACAGAGCTGTTGTAGGCCACACCTTGGATGAGAATGAGTGCAAGGCTGTCCCACCATTCAAGCGTGTATACTAGATGTTCAGATTTGCACATGGAGTAATGGCTTAGGATCTGGCTAGGGGTTAAAGAGGTGCTTATACGACAAGCGACCGAGAAAAGGAAAGGCAAAGGTCGCGAGAGGAGAAGATCATTAAAGATGAACATGGATATGACTCCAAGATCAGGAATGATCTATGAATCTTTGAGCTGGACATGAAGGGGCGTGGATTGTAGCATAGCCGGTTGGGAATTGGAGTGGATTAGTATGATATTTGTTGTTGTCGTCTGCGGTTTTTTGGCGTGCCAAGTTGTAGTACCCGTTTATAAGGTGTCGTTGTGGTTGTTGAATAAAAATATCTTTATTTGAATTTTGCTATGACTACTGGCCAATGTGCTTGAATGTTTGACGTTTAGATCATAATTCCATTTGTTCATCGGTAGTTTAAGGGGTCGAGTGATAGATTCTTTGACATTTGTGTGCGACTTCCTCTCCAATTTACATGTCCTTTGTTGTAACGAGAGCCAAGAGTCAAGAGCACAGTCACATGTCAGATGTCAGATGGCGGATGATCGAACGAGGTAGTTTCAACCGAGGAGATGTGGTGGGGGGCAATTTCTGGAATGCGGGATTGTTCGGTAATGGATTAGGCTAGAGGGAAGAGAATCAATGGGGGATGATGATGATATACGGAGGGGAGCTAAATACTAGGTAATTAAGTAATCGTCTAGAGTATTAATGACAACTACGATATTTATGTTGAGTGAACATTGTTGTGTTTTGGTTTTTCGATTGATTGATCGATTCTGTGATATTGATTTATTAAAGAACCTTGGAAAGAATCGTATACTTGTGTGTATGGTTTGATTTATCTAGTTATATCGGATGATATAAGATTATTAAATTATACCATCTCATCACATCATATCATTTTATTCAAACAACACATCGATAATTAAATATCATATCCTTATTATCTCAACACCGGAAAACATCACATCATGACCTCAAGCGATCCACAAGGGAAAGGGAAAGGAAAGGCTCCCAATCCATCTCCCGCTTCTGCTTCTACTTCCTCTACATCTGTACCTCCAGCGCAAATAACTTCAAACGATACTCCCAGTCGACTAGATGAACAACCTACTCCCTCTCTTCTCAACCGTATTGGTGCTTCGGCAGCAGGATTGGGTCGAGATGTTTTTGCGGGGGGAGCTGGTGTTGGAGGAGAGTCATTGAGGAGAGATGCGCAGGGGTTACTTGTAGCGGCTGGGAATGGGAAGGGGGGAAGCACGAGTGCGATTGCGAGGGGAAATGGAAATGGAGATGTAGGGTACACGCCAATGCACAGGGGAAATCCTAGGTTAACGGATGGATCATCTTCGATGTCTCGGGGTGTTGGGGATACTCTTGGGATGAGGAGCGCGGGGAATGTGGGGACTAGTGGGAGTGGTTTTCAGGGAGCTGGAGGGAGTGGAGACTCGAATGGGAATGCCGTTGGAGGGGATGAAAGAGCGAGATGGATACAGCAGAATGAGCATGCATTTTCTGAGTTTTTGGATGGGCTTCCTTCTCTTACTCCTGCGGGTGATTCGGGCTTTGGGGATGGTGTTTCGGGATCTTCCTATGGGATGTATGAGAGTATTCCGTACGGCGCTCCTTCGAATACAGTGGGGAAACAAGCTCTCGAAGACTCGTGGGCTCGATCTGCACAACGAGGCAACGATCAACGTGAGGGTTATTATGGGTCTCGCGCTGTAAATGCACGAGAACCAACGATCTACCATTTCGAGCCATTGCCGGCCTTTCATCCAGATAAAATGACGGCGGCGGAACATCGTCGAGAAGTTGTGAATGCGATTTCTCATAGAGATGCTGGGTATATGAATACCGATCACCACGATATATCCGTGCAAGAACAGGAAAGTAGAGATGGAGATGAAGTGCGCGATTTGTTATCGAGAATTGGAGGGGCATCTTTTGATGAGGAGATTGCTGGGATGGATCGGGGAATGAGCGAGATGGAGATAGAGGGAGAGGATATGAAAGTCTATGAGAGAGAATGGATGGGTATGAGTTCTGTGGAACGGGATAGGATTATACAGGCTACGAGGGGTTTGTTTCCGGAGGAGGTGAAGAATGGAGGGGGGGTGGTACATGGAGGTGTTGATGTGGAGAATTCGCTGAATTTGTTTCCGGAGTATGAGAGGGAAGCCGAGGAGAGATGGAGAGGAGAGAGAGAAAGAGAAATGCACAGAGAAGAAGAAGATGATGATGATGAGTTTGAAGGCGAAGTGTTAAATTTCCAGGGAATAGAATGGAGAGTGAGGAAAGAAAAGAAACATGGGGACACAAAAAAAGGGATAAGAGGAAAGGCGAAAGAAGAGTGGAAAAGTGATTGGGAGGGTGTACTGAAAGGGTATACTGATGAAGTATGGGGGGGGTTAATACCGCTAGTCCGAGAAGCGAGAGAGGAATTGCAAATCGAAGAGGAAAAGGGTGATGGGGGAGAGGGGAACGAGAAGGGGAATTTAAAAGCGCTGAGGAGATTGGGTGCTGTGTTGGGACATTTGAGAGGGTTGGATGGGAGTGGGAAGTAAGGATGAGGATGTTGATTTGGTGTGAGATAATTTGATGGGTAACTTCTGGATGAGATTTTATAATTGGAGGTTTTTTTATTACATGTATAGAGATCTCCGAACATCTGGAAGGAAATCCGAGGATTAATCAACTCTTTTATCAGATTAAGAAAATCCACATCATCAAAATCGAATCCATCAAAGTCTCACCATCATCTAGATGTCAATAATATTACTCCAAGAGGACAGCTCTCCACATCAATTATTCTATCAAGATCCATCCATGACAAGGTTCCTTTACTGCTTTGCTCCGAGTAGAATGAGTGAAATGAGGTATACATATAGAAGAATCAGCTAGATATTTCTCAATCCATGTAATCTTACTACACACAATAAAGCAGCAGCACACAAAATTCACAATCCCAAAACCGTGTGTATAAAAACCAACGCATCAAATTAGACCGACTATCAAAAACTACGAATATTAATCATATACAAGTCCTTTTCCACCCCCATACCCCAAAAGACATACCCCATAACCCAGGAGGAGAGCCCCATTTTGCAGTCCCACCTCCGTTTGCACCTCCCGCTTCGTCTCCTGTTTGATTCAGTCACTTCACCTATGCTCTTCTCTCCCTTTTCCTTCCCATTTCCTTTCCTTTCCCATTTTGACCCCGCTCTCACCCATACCCCGAATGCATATTTCTCGCCAGCGAACTCACTACCCGCTACCCGCAAAACGCTACGTTCACTCATTCCCCATCCCTCCCCATTCCAAGTCCCTTTTGTATGTTGAAAGAAATGTTAAAAAAATAGAAAAATGAAAAGTCATGTCTTGCAAATTTGGATATCCAGTAAGTGAGTATCCACTAGTAGACGAAACACCCCACTGTTTCATTGTAAATAGGATGAATAGCTTGAATAAATAGGAAATGCTGCGTGCCGCCGACGTTAATGATAAAATAAAATGTTAATGAAGAACACCATCCTCACCCGATGATGAAGAATGGAAATGCAAAGCAAAGTATGAGAACTAAAGAAGCAACGAGATTCCCTCCATTTTGATTAAAAAAAAAGTCGTGTATCGTGTCGCTGAAGTCATCTCCCTCCATTGACTGTTCTCTTTTTTTTGTTGTTTTGTTTCTCTCTTTTTCTCGTTTTTCTCTTTCTCATCAATCCTCCTTTCTCGTGTCCAAACTATGTATGTATAGTACACTACGTCTCATGTCTCATCAAGTTTCCGAGAAGGTGCCCAATTGCACTTCGTAAAACACACCGATAATGATTCACTCCACCCATCAGTCCACCTCTTCATCCCACCCCCAGTACACCTATATGAACTTTTGACCCTCCACCTTACTCTTTTTCGTGACCTGTACCCAGGAACCAATCTCCTCAACAGCCTTTCTAGGCGCCTTTTTCCTTGTCAAAAGGAATCCTTGAACCTCAGCTGGACTGAACATATAGTCCTCGATATGTTCCGAAAACTGCTTTGCTAACATCTTAAGTTCCCCCTCTTCCAATGTTTCTTCTTCAACATTTTTCTCAATATCAGCTATTGTGAGGGTCTTCTTTCCCGCAGGAGTAGTAGCTTCTGTTTCAGTTCCAGTGGCACAAGTTTCACTTATAATGGCGATAGGAGTATCTGGTGGAGTAAGAGGACGACTTCCCGCAAGTGGATTTGAAATCAAATTTGCATATGTCTTCTCCGACTCTGGGGTTGTGGTATCTGAAGTTGGGGTGAGAAGAGGGATTTTTTCTTCTTCTCTTTCAAGAGGAACTTGTGTTTTTTGGATAATGGGCTCAGTAGCTGGTGAGGTAGTAGCGATAAGTTTCTCCCGTGGCGGGTCTTTAGAGTACATCCGCTCGAAAATTTCTTTGATTTGATGACGAGTGGCATTTGTGAATGCAACCTGACAATCTACGCGGCCTGGTCGGATGAGAGCTTCGTCTAGCTTTTCGGGGTGGTTGGTAGTCATCACCAAGACACGACCTTCGTGCGAGGCTACACCATCAATAATCTATAAATACAGTCAGATTCTCAGACTCCTCAATGCGTGAAGAACTGTGGGAACTTACATTCAAGAGACCGGATAATGAGATTCCTTTCTTTTCACCATCATCTTTCTTACCTTTCTTGCCTTTCTTGCTTCGTTTACCCTTGCTCCGTCTACTCTTGCTCTTGCTCTTGCCCTTTCTTCGTGATTTTTTAGTGATCAGTTCGTCTTCATCTTCGCTGCTGCTGCTCTCGGAACTAGATTCATCCGACGACTCAACTTTATCTTCATTGACACGCGTTAGACCTGCGGTGTCGATATCCTCCAATAGTACAATGCATCTAGGTGGCAAGTTGGTAAAGAGATTCCCGAGTTCCTCTTCCGTAAGTGTAGGCTCTAGCAAGCTAACAACGTAGATATTCACCCCAAAAACGCCAGCAAGGGCAAAGGTCAAAGAAGTTTTACCGGTTCCTGGAGGTCCATGAAAGAGATACCCTCTGCGATAAGGTATACCACGAATGGCATACCAACGAGCAGTAGAAGGATTCAAGTATTCGTTAATGTCACGCAGTACTTTAGTTTTCATAACCTCATCCAAGACAACAGTTCTCATTGGACGACAAGGTCTTCTCGCCACCTCAATCCAAGAGCTTCGACCTCCCCATGCTCGACGCTCCTTGTTTGCAGGTCGACGAATGACAGTCTTTGCACTGTGATTTCTGTTTGAATAATCTTTAGCTTCTTGAAGAAATTCCTTGATAGGTGTTGTGCTACGACCATAACAAGAGATGAGCAGCACTTGTTGGTCAGATACTGGGTTGCCATACGAAGAGGACGAAAAGACCATTTTTTCCGATCGCCTGACCATGAAGTATCTACCATTATGCCAAAAAGTATGACTAGCTCCCATAGACGGTGTAAATTGCGGCTTAGTCTTGGAATCTTGATCAGCAAAATTGAGCCATTGTATAATACCGGTTCCGTCAAGCTGTGTCAAGGTGACTGAGTCCTCATTATCTAAGTCCCAATATCCCCGTCGTGCTGTTTCTGCCTGAAGAGAGCGAGAAGATTTCATTTGGTACTTGTGTGCCAGGAATTCTATAACTTCGTCGTGAATTTCATCTCTGCTACTGATAGAGATATCAGACATCCAGTATGATCTCACGAATGACCATGCCCATGAATATAATACATCGAAAGCCTTGTTTCCCAGCCATAAAGCAGCCCAGAGAGAAACAAGGACCGTGATATCAAAACCAACGGTTTGTAAAACAATCTTGTGAATGTAGCCATATCCGGGAACGAGATTTTCTAGAAGGGTAGTTGGTAGGAGTCCGCCGAGTAAAGCTGCCGTTGTGCTTGTGTTAGAAGATGACGCAGATGAATTCTGGTGCAGAGCTTCTAAAACCGCATCGAGATCCATGTCGTTCAATCTCTTCTCTTTATTTGATGGAGATCTTGTAGATTGAACGAACGAATGGAGAATTTGTCTGAGGGAATGGGATGGCGGAGGGGAGTGAAGAACGTGAACGCCTCAAGAAATGGTGATGAGTGTTGTGTAGAAGTGATCTGCAAGTTGTATGGTGGATCTTTGTTGGGCGTCAAGTATGTGTAATATTCGACAAGCAAGGTCAATAGTTTCTGTGTTAAGCTCTAAAGAAACACAAATCATAATTCAGAGGAGGGAAAGAGCGCATATGCAGTGTCCACAATTGGACCACGCGGCACGGTACAAACGGCGTGAATGGCGTGTAGTTGCCTCTTCTGATTCACTGGCTTAAATAGAACCCATATTACAATGTGATGTGTATGTAATATGGTAAGTTTAATTTTAAAGACAACCGGTACCATGTCACTGGGATATCGTCTGGGAACTTCCTGCGAATAGGACAACGAAATCGAGAGCCGCACCTTTCTCTTTGAATACCAAGCAACGAATGGGCGACCACAACGATCCCTTTTGTAGCTGGACAGCTTAACTTTCAAATGTTACTAGTGGGGCATGGGAGATTTTAAGAGAAAGTTCTGACATAAAAGTAGGCAACAGACGCGGAGTAACTTGCTGACTACCTTGTAGTTATTCTAGGCTCTAGTGAGATATAAGGAACCCGATACAAATGTGATGAGTGTAAAAGGAAACAGACAACAAACCCATGTGATTTGCCGCACTAGCTTGTTAAATTCCGACGCTGGTACCCGTCTGACAAAAACAGATGCAAGCAATTGTACCATCTGTACGAGTAGCTGGACCCAAAAACCAGGCTGAAGAGAGTTACGTCAAATATGTGGCAATGAATCAAAGGTGTGGAATAATGCAAGGAGTTGAAGAGGCGCTGGCCACGTTGTCCTGGGAAAATAGACCGGATGAAAAGAAAATAGCAGACACAAAGTATGAAGGAGTTTACATGGAAGAGTCATAAAAACGTCAAAGTTCGCATCAGGTCCAAATGCTTGGGATTTTGTTGAAGTCTCTTGTCAGCATATCTTTGGTTGGAGAATACGAGCTTATTGAAATTGTCGAACTAATTTCCAATATCTCAACAGTTGGACTTTCCAAAAAGGTTGGTGGTATCAAAAACTGCTAGACCATGGCTTCTTGGGTTGCCTTTAATGCAGTTGGTGAAATTGGCTCGTAGTGGTAATGCAGAAAATGCAGTCTACCGCCACAAAGAATCGATGGGAGAAGAGAATTGGGGGAGCTAATCAGAATGACTGCCAACCCACTCTCAATGCATTCTTATAGCACATCTTGTAACATTTCTCTTTTGATTCGCTGTCGCTGCTGCTTGTATTCCCCACCATTTCTGCAAGCAACATACATTTGCCTCTTTGCCTTATTTGTGTCTCATTGGAAACCTTGGTATGTTCACATGATGACGGGATTGGAGAGACGAAGATGATGGGAGGGTTGAAGAATAAAACTTCATTGGTTTCCATGTTTATCATAAACAGGCTGAAGAGTCCATTGGCTCTTGACCTACCCGGGTCACACGCCGTATGTAGGAGGAGATTCGAGTTTTTGCGTTGTGAAGATTCTAAGAAGATGCGTATACGACGAATGATGAGGGAGGTAAGACGGACGAGACGAGATATCGGACATTGTTACCGCTAACGGCGAAATATTGATGAATTTCCGTGCATATGTAAGCAAAATGTGGATTGTACTCAGCCCTTCGTACTAGGTAGTGTAGGTAGTTACTGATAGCTTCATGATTCATCAATCGTTGATCTGTCAGCCTTGTCATCAAAAACGTCCCAATCCCGGATATCAATATCACTCACTGCAGGATCCATCTTATCTGTTCTTTATTTATGCATACCATTCTACCTTAACTAAGCGCTTTGTCTCATAGCAGCCTATCGATTGATCCAATTCGTGAGCCGTATATCACTTCTGTGTCGATAAATCTGGTAGCTCGCCCTGTTGTGGAGAGCTCCTCGTATAAACAAGTTGCGGCTCAACCGACTATCGTTACATCAGTGTCTTAGATTTCGATTACATAAAGACAACATTGCCCGTGGAGTAGGCAATCGGCATTTGCGGCTTTGAGCTGCTCAATACTTTTTGAGAAAACTCTCGTTCAAGATGATGTCCGCTACGAATGAAGATGATCCTTTTCTCCAAGTACAAGCGTAAGTCTTTCTAGCCTTCTTCTGGGTCTCATTACCCTGCAGCTTTACCCCTCTGGGGGACCTCTGGGGATTGTTAGTTTTTCCGCAGTCTGCCTTACCCCTCATACATCACACCCACTCTCTTCGCGCAAGAGGCCTAGGCCTGCAATCTTCCTCTACGACCACATGTATGCAATGCATGCACATTTAGCCCTCTACTCTCCTCACTTCCCAATCATTTCGCGTGAACTTATCTTATGATCTCACGCGCATACTTCCTCCCCCGCATATGCTTCAGAACCGCGCATACTCTACTGTTCAATATATTCCGATTCGGCATAATTCATTACAATTCCCTCACACCCTCAACTAACACAACCCTCTAGCGATGTACACCACCAACTATCCCTTACACGCCCCCTCTTTACCTCCTACCTGCGTATCCACTCTCTAACCAAATCTCCGCATCCAACTCCTGAACTCCTCTCCGCCCGCTCCGACCTAACCACCTCTCTCTCCCTATTAACCGACGACCTGCAGGACCTTCGCGATTCCATATCCGCAATTCAAGCCGACCCCTACAAATATGGGCTACAGATCGAAGAGGTATCTCGTCGGGTACGGATGATAGAGGAGATCGGAGGTGAGGTAGATGACATGCGGGAAGAGCTTGAAAAAACTATGGGTGCTGCATCCAATTCCGGGGCTGGGGGAAATGCATATAATGATGACAATACCGGCTCACCTCTAGACGATGACTACGCCGCGGAATTCGAACATCAACAACAAATGCAAATGCTAAAGCAACAAGATGAGCAACTCGACAGTGTATTTCATACCGTAGGGAACCTCCGTCAACAAGCCGATGACATGGGCAGAGAGTTAGAAGAACAAACAGGAATGTTACAAGAAGTAGAAACGGTAACCGATCGAGTGAGCGGGAGACTTCAAGGAGGAATGAAGAGGATGAATAAATTAGTCAAAGAGAACGAGGATGGACTGAGTAGTTGTTGCATTGGGGTGTTAATTTTCGTGCTGATTTTGTTGTTGGTGCTTGTGCTTATTTTGTGAAGGAGGCGGGAAGGCAACGGGCAGGCGGAAGGAGAGGAGTACTTTTCCCTTTGAATTCATCTCATCTAATTTTTCATTTCCTGTCTATCTTTCTTTCGGTAACCAGAACAAGCATCGGAGTTCAGGCGTTGGATAGAGGTGTAATACACAGGGAGCTCAAAAGCTGATCAAAACCGATCAGGTCAGAAAGGACGGCAAGGCAAGGCAAGGAAAGGAGAATAATAAACTGAAATTTCGAAAGCAAGCGGCAAACAAAAATCTCAACAATCTTCAGAAACTCAAGAAGCTTTAGAAGCTCAAAACGAGCGCATGCATATAGAGGGAGATCAAAGATAAGAAAAAGAACAAATACAGTATCAAGACTTGCGCTTTAAATGAAACACCAAATCATAAATTCAACAGAGTGCCCAACATCGAGGTAGGTTGGGATCTTATTTTTGTACTTCCACTTTGTGTCCTGCACATTCGTAGCCATATTCACAACGGATCCAGAAGTCAGCATACCCATCACACACTCCCACAAAGCCAAATCAACACTCCAAAAGGATACTAATCAGCCATTCATATCTACTTTTTATTTATAACTCGTTCTCATTGATTTACTTTCATGCTAGTACTGATGAAATGCACTACCAATGCACTACTCCTTCCTAAAAGTTTTGCAATCCCAAGCCCATTCCATGCACGCATGTAGACATACATACATGCTTATATTCCTGTTTATTTTCCTATCAAAAGCATCCCATCCTACTACTGTGCATCCACAACACTCATCTTCTGCTTCAAGTCCTTTTTTCTCCCTGTCCCATAGCCACAACCAATATCAACCATCCATAGATATCACACCAATTCAGCCACACCAATCCCAACCTAACAAAATTAATCTGCATAATCCGACCATTTTTCTTCCATCCGTAACCTCAAGAGAGAAGACTAGCCTGGTCGTCGATAAAAGAACGATCGCTCGTTTCTGGGTCACCATCCAATCCCTTTTTCGGTACCGTTGAGGTCGATGACGAAACAAGTCCGACAACTGCGGTTGTAGAGGTGCCACTCACGGAACGATTAGCATGCGTGTCGAAATCGAAATCGAGACCCGACATGGAATTGCTCTGAAAATGTATTTCGTCAACGAATGGACTCTGAGCAGACGAGACCAAACGAGACTAAACAAGAAAGAGTTATGTGTAGGTATAGGGATGAACAAACATGCTTGCAGGCGAGAGGATTAACGGACGGAAAGACGAAGAGGACGAAGATTATGAAGACAAGGTACGCGTGAGCCAACAATTCTAATCAGGACAAATGACAACTCCTCACTCCCCCAGCAAGGCTCCTTGAAAGCAGAAACAAAGCGGCATGGTACTAACAACAATCATCGCTGACTTCTGGAAGATCCTACCGAGTTTTGTCGATCGTGATTGGGTCTTCGCTCTCGACGATCTCCATCTTGAAGTTTCAAGGAGTCTAGCCTCTTCTGATTGTCCTCTGTCATCGGATCCACATCATCTGCTCGTAAAGGGGTTGTTTTGGTTCTAGAAGGAGAAGCTGGACCTGTAGGTAAGGCGGCTCCATTAGTCTTCGACCTTCCTGCTTGTTCCTCCAAAGCCTTCCATTTGTTTCCTCTGGCTTGTTCTCTAGCTTCAGCATTATTCTGATGCTCAGTGTAGTCGTGAGAGCAATCATCAAAAAGTTGAGGGTTGATCTCCATGAATAGCTTCATTGCATTGTAAACCATGCCGTGGATCGTTCTAGATTAAATGGATTAGCTTGAGACAGCTTTTCATATAGTTTCTGAAAGTTTCTCACCTGTTCCAATGACCTTTGGAATTCTCATATAATGGTGCGAACATAATTGGTAAGATTATCTCGACATTGTCGCTGACCAGATTGCAAAAGTATTCGTTATTCCAGAAGTATAACGCACGTTCTGCAACTTGAAAATGTGGGCTCGCAACTGATTTTGCCAGTTGATGGAAGAGAGGCTCCTGAACTTTAGCGAATTCTGCTGGGTCCATTACCTCGAAAATATCCTCCACTTCGTTTAGGAACATGACTTCTTTCGTGCTGTTCACCTTGGGCCAGTAGCGGAGCAAGCCCAAAACGACCTAAAATTGTGAGTAAATCGAATCTTCAATAATGGTGCTAGACATACCTCTTCTGTTAAGGCTGCATCCTTTTCTAGGAATTGGACAATGCAGTAGGCAAGTTGAGGATGATACATGCTCAGACTCTTGACTTTATGTAATGGTATTAAGACTCTCGTCAAAAACAGTTTGTGCTCTTCCTTTAATGGCAGAGCAAAACCGTTAATGATAGACCCAAGAATCTCCAATAGCTCAGCAATGCCATTGAAACGTTCCGTCTCATAAACGAATTGAAAGAATACGTTGTTAATAGATCTTCTAATGTATGACCGGAGGTTGAGAAATTTTCCATATATTCTGTGAAGGGTTGTCTTTAAGAAATCTCGCTCGCGAGGGTCTTCAGAATCAAAGAGTTCAAGTAACTGTAATACAAAACTGTGATCTATGAATGCCTTCGCAATATTGGTGTTAAAGTCTTGACTCTCAATAAATCTCAAGAAGAATTCATATACGACTTGAATATGCGGCCAAGCAACTTCAAGAACTGGTTCATCTTCCTCGGGGTCGAACGCTTCACCTTGAGGGTTCATAGGAGGTGGTATGGGGCGGAAAAGATTTTTACTGAACATCTCGACAACCTTTGGATACATAGCCTCAGTGATGACTTGTCTATTGTTGGCAACGTAATCGAGAAGTTCATGGAGAGCCAATCGTTTGATTTCCTTGGACTTCATATCCGCGCTTGCATCGTTGAAATCAAATATGACATTGCATTGATCAATCTTTTGCATGAAGAGATCTTGGCGGCGATTGGGAGGTACCTCGTGGAAACCTGGCAGCTTTTCCAATTCGCGGAGAGGAGAAATATCAAATCTTGAAGAGTGTTGTCGCTTTGGTGTTCTGATGCCTTCTGGGACATCTTTTGGAGTTGTTTGTAACCGGTCGAACATTGATGACTTCGCACCAGCCTTGGGGGGGGCGAGGTCATGCGGCATTGTTTCTGCGGCACCTGGAGGAGGGATGTGCTGAAAGAATGACATTAGTATACAGAAGATGACCCAAGTGTGTGGCATAACTTACTGGTGCACTTGGACTGATAACGACACTAGGAGGAAGTGCCCCATGACGATTTGGTGTCCCAGGACTGGGGGAACCTCCTCCTGTGTTGAATCGATCCGGAGCAGACATTGCACCAAGAGCTGCCGGGTTCAAAGGCGGTTGTACAACTACACCACTTGAGGATGTACCATCATTAGGAGGCAGTGGTTTATTCCGCAAGTCATTAAGTGTGGTGCTCGAAGATGAGGGTGTTACTGCAGGCGATTGTCCCGCTCCCTGCGAATTTGATTGCGAAGGTGAAGATGTGCCATCTTTTGATGATTCCCCCTTCTTAGATTTTGTTTTGTTTGGATCTTTTGAGCGCGAAAGCTGCTCATGCTGAATGGGTTAGCAGATGATCACTTTCAAGATGGTACGGTTGCTATATGGAGAGTATTCAGCATCAAAATGACTTACAACCCTCTGTCTGAAACCTTTCATCTTGGACAACTACTCTCTGGAAGATGTAAAAGACACAAAATCTCGATTATTTGATACTCTTTGGATATTGCCGGTTTGCGAAACCTCTTGTTCTTGTCCACCAACGCTTCCAATTTCAAAGTAAAAAGGTCGCGTCACTTAAGATTGCTGTTGTGAATGTGCCGATCCTATCCTTGATGAGGCTCTAAAGACTGCGGTAAATTACTCGATAGCAGTGGCTTAACTCCCGTTTGTCGCTGAATGGCACCAAATACAAAATGGATATTCAACTGCAACGATTTGTTGATACGCAGATGGAAACCTCCAATAGCACCCTACTGGTGTAGCTTGAATTCCTTGCTTGTAAATTGATAGTGCGATGTTGGTAGGTTTTCATAAAAGATAATGGGAATTGCCAATGGTTTCTATTTGATCTGCCGAAGTTCTGTATCCCAAAGGTTCGTGAGGGGCTAGCCCCGGTTGTTGACTTGTTGCGCAAGCGTAGGTAAACAAGTTCTACCAGAACGATATCTGTCAGTGCGAGTTGGGAGAAGATAGGGAGAGTAGGATAGGTTTAAACACACAAACGAGCCAACAATGACGATTGACATACACGGTCGATCGTACAGCGGCAGCGGCTGTTGAAGTAGGTCGAGGCTGATCCCGGCGGTGAATATGGTACTCCTCTACGCCGAAGCACAAGCTATCAAATTATTGAAGAAGGCCAACGCGTTTGGGCGCTTTTCTATGGACAGCAAATAAATTGGCAGATGGATAATAATTGGTCGGGTATTAAAGATCTTGGAATGAGTTGTTAAACTCCTTCAAGTAGAATGGTTAATTAGGAGAGTTTTATTTATTTGACCTTCATTTCAAAGAGTCTTAAACAACACAGCAGCAGTATCAACAAGTGCGAGTGGTCCCCTCAGTAGATGGAATTAGCGCAAGTCAATGATAACCTAAATTCTAAGGCAATTCAATCAAATCTAATTGACTTTGGGGCTTTCACATTTTCACGCTTTCACTACCTAGGTAGGTACTACGTAGGTTCGGAGATTTCTTTGCTGCTGTCCGCGCCCCGGTGACGTGAAAGACTCGAAATTACGGCTCAAGGTTAAAAGCCATCATCCAAGCTTTAACAGAGGGAAAAAAATCATCTAAAAGTCGTCAACGGCCAAACGAGAAGATAGGATATCTGTCTGGGTATTGATTGGTCCAAGCCAAAATTAAACATTCCCCATATTGAGTACTAGACCTCGGTGGTCCGAAGAAAAGTCATCTACCAAATTCACGGGATTTGATAGAAGACATAAAGAATTCTCTAGTACTGGGTCGCTGGCTCGTTGAGGTTATTCGCATAAACCATTTAACGAGTCCAAGAGAAGGGTAATAACAGGATGGTCGAATATCGGCATTGAATCAAAGACAATTCAAGGATCCAAAATAAAAAAGACCCATTTTGCTTTACAATCCCGGTAACTTTTCATCTACTTACAAAAATATGGAAGAGTACGAAGATATGGATTCTGAGGAGGACGTTGAGGTTGGAGGGGAGGATGATGATGAGTATGAAGAGGCAGAAGACATGGAAGTGATTGAGGAAAATGATGAAGAGGAAGATAGAGATTTTGACTACGAAGAAGAAGACCAATCTGCTCCGGTGTATACAATCCCGCCAAGGGAAATTGTCGCTGTCGAGCATCCATTGATCGTTAAGAATCTTGAAAATGGTATCAAAACTTTTGGACGTCAACCACAATGGAATAAGGTACGTGGAAACCATTTTTCATGCGCTATACAACTTCACCATTCTTCTATTACTTGACAAGTAAATCTCATCTCATGATAGCTATGAAATCACAATCTTGATATCAACTATGGACTAACAACTTCAACAGATTCTTGAGGGCACTGAAGATGAATGTATTCCTCTTTTTCTTCGAATCAAGGATCCCACATGCGAACCAATTCTATCTTACAATAGCATCACCAACAATGTTCTCCTCAAGATCACCGTACCAAAACGTACTGGTAGAAAGCGCAAGCGTGGATCTCAGGACCCTTATACTGACGATGGGCATTCAACATCTCAGAATACCAGTGAAAAGAATTCGTTCGGTGAAAATCAATCCCACTCTTTGAATGACAAACCCAATAGTATTCTGAGAAAGCTTCGAGACAATGTTGGCAAATATACTGTCGAGGCTGCAGGAGCCATAGAACAGAGTCATCGCTATAGAGGTAGTGACCTTCTTCCCTTATGTTTGCAATACATTAACAAGATCCAGGACTTTCTGATTATCATCAATCTACATCTAGTGCAACTTTTATGTCACATTTCAAAGAAACTGCATTCTCTGCCAATTGTAAGTCCTCATATAAGTCATATTTCCATGATATCGCTAACTTTCATCAGGGGGCAAGATGCGAGAATTCAAGCTCGGTACTGACAAAGGCTGGAAACCAAATGAAGAAATTGTTCCTCCACCCACATTCACTCACCATCCATTACCATTCAACTGGGGATATCGACAAAATCCTTTAATCTCAACCGAAGTGGATGCCGAGACAGGAGAGACAAGCATAGTGAACCGTTCGAAAATGCCAAAGCTCGAGATGCAGTATGTACATTGCGACGAAGACGAAGATGTCCCCACAAAGCCATTTCGTGAAGTTCCAGATGATCCTGTTCTCAAAGACTTCGTAGCCGCACTTCAACTAGCCATGAACGAACGTCCAATTTGGACTCGTCGTGCGTTGCAAAATCGTCTCGCCAACGAGCCAGGATATTATCTGATGAAACCTGCACTTCAGTATGTGGGTTACCAATTCCGAAGCGGTCCTTGGCGTGATGCACTCATAAGATATGGAGTTGATCCCCGCAAAGATCCATCTTGTCGGATTTATCAAACAATTTTCTTCAAGTTATACGAAGAAGATGAGCGTGCTCCTGATGGTCAATGGAAAGATATGCGGAGTCAATACACAAGACATCAAGTTTTCGGCACGGGAGATTGTCCTTCACACATGTTCAATGGTACTTCTTTAACTCTCGACGGTAAAGTGTGGCAAATTTGCGATATTACAGATCCTCTTCTTGCTCCTCTTATACAAAATGCACCAATGGCTAAGCAATACGACAACAACCATGATGGCTATTACAATAATGGGACTCTCGCCAAGATCCGAGCCATCATGAAAACAAAGTTGATTGCCATTCGCAGCAAGAAAGTAATTCCCGAAAATGCATTCGATGTAGCGCTCAGCATACCTGATTTCGTAGAGGGAAAAGACGGAAAGAAAGTCCATGTGCCAGTACCAGATATGCGATTGACAGAAGAAGAAATCGAAAAATTAAGAGAAAAGGGTATTATTAGTGGAATGAGTGGAAAGGGAGTGAGACATCTTGATTCAAGGACAAAGAGGAAACAATATAGAAAGGGCGGAAAGTTACCAATAAAAGCTAAGAGAGCGAAGCAATATGGAATGATGAAGGGACCGTCAACATCGAAACCTAAAACTTCGACCGCGGCAGCGAAACCGAAAAATAAGAAGACAGCTGGGCCTTCCGAAAAGGATGAAGATGCCACGCCAGATATTGCTGCTGTGCGTGTACAGGGAGATATCTCGACGGAAGATACCATCAAGATGATGGATGCAGAGGGAGAAGAAGATGAGATAGAAGTCGATGCTGAGAGAGAATATGACGATGAAGAAGCAGAAGAAAACGAAGAGGAAGAATTAGTCGATGCGGAACTGGGATCTGAAGACGAAAGTACAGACTCGGAAGATGAATCAGAGGCGGAAAAGGAAAAGGAAATGTTTATTAAGAATTACGAGGCGAGGATGGGGGCTGGGAATGGTTCAAATGAGTAGTATGTAGGCTGTCTAGATAGGTTTTATCAGCCAGATTGATACCGGGGAGGAGATTGTATGATTTTGGGGGCTCTCTGCCGCATAATCTAATATCACATTGTCAATTCAAGCAATCGAGTTATATGGCTTGATCAGGCTTCACGTAGATCGCATCAACAATTCACTGTCACTTTTTATTGTCGAGTCATTTGATGGACCGACGCGCACGATGTTAAAGATATCAAAAAGACGAGCAATCTGTAATCAGGGGGTCCCTAATGAACGAATTAATGGCCAATAAAGAAGTCTCTGGGCGAGTTTGCTCCCTACAAACAAATTGTTTTAGGAGTATCCGACAAACCTGATACTATCTCTAGAACCAGACCACATGGCTAGATGCTCTAAACCATAAATGAGATAAACAAAATAGGTAGCCCTGACGCATCCACAGCTTTCTCATTGTGACTTTGAAACGGAACTATAATTATCCTCCCGCACCCCAACATTTGCAAGGCTACTTTACTACCGTCTATGTCCGGCACTCTTCTCTTAGTGAAAAGAAGAAAGCGGGCAATACGATCCTTCATATATTCGTCACATGGTTTTATGCTTTGTTAAATGGCCCCGTATGTTTGGAAATCGGGATAGGATGATCCATTTCCAAACAATTGGAAAAGGGTTTCCAATGGATAGGAAATCATTTTGTTATATCTACGCAATCACTGCTCACGCGGTGTTTCCAGGCGCTCAGATCACTTGATTCAAGGTCCTTGTGGGAGGACTATTTCAAGAGTTTTATTACTATGCAAATGTAGATGCGTTAGGACATTATATTCAGACGCTCTTGTGATATTCACGTAATGCCGCTCCGCTGGGCCACTGCCGTGGGGGCTTTTTCGCTTCGCTCGAGCTCTAGAAGGGGACGGAGAAGAAAAGGAGAAATGATTTGATAGATCGGATAGATCGAGCGTAGCGAGGATGGCGGGTTTGGGGGCTTGTCTTGTCCCCATAGAAGATAGAGAAATTCAGGTATGTTGATGTTTAAAAGCTATTGGACAAGATAAGATGAAGAGGGCTTTCGTGGGTACCTGTTATGGCGAAGAATGAGTAGGCTGAGCGTGTGAAGTGAGGGAGCATCATGTTCTTAGGGTTAGAGATTACTATCTTGACTTATAGACGAAGGGAGAAAGGAGAAAGGGGAGATAGATTGATCGTATTACAATCATCTCTTCATCATTGAGCATAGATCAGGAGTCACCGATAAAAAAGTTTACAACTCGGTAGCTAGCACCGCACCTAGAGGCTGGCACATGTTTGCAAAATAGTTGGAATAAATCTAGGTTTTAGTTTCTGGTAGCATGAGTAATAGGTTTCAAGGCTGATTGGACTCCAATTTTTTCCCGCATATTCCGTATTTTCTTTTTGCTTGATACCTTCCTTATAGTTCCTTATAGTTGAAGTATGGAGGGGCGAAGCTGAATCAGTATCATAAAGAAGACGAACTAGACACGCGAGACACGTACACTGAGAGATGATGGGAGTATTATATAAGCAGCAACACATGTTTCTTTGCTTACCTAATGAGACAACCCGAGTTCTTTCATGCCCGCATTTGGGTCATCATCGATTGAATGAATGAATGAACATCTTGTGTCGGTAGGATTCAGGAACGACCTTTTCTACTTCCCAAATTCTCTATATTCTTCAAAGAAGAGTGCCTAGATCTCGATGAAGATGATAATCAACAGCTTCTTATTTATCTTCCTTACAATTAGAATACAAATATAATATAATAAACCTCTTGGGAAATTCACATTGCCTTCACAATTATCATCAATCTATGGTATGGGCAAATGCATGATACTCGATCGTATTAAAGAAAATAGATTTTGAAAGCCTTAATTTTGTCATCAGATGGGAAGGAAAACCTTAAATTTCTTGATTTATTAACAGCAGCGCGGGCCTCACCTCAAGATTGTGGTGCATCATCTCATAGGTACCCGTGGACTCTCGTACTGTACCAGGTAATCAATCTCATAACGAAGGTTCAACCCCACGAATTTCGATAAATAAACGTACAACCTCACTCAGCCTACAACCTTCAATCCCAAAAACCCTTACCATACCATACCACCACCCCTTCGACCACCACCCCCCCCTCCAACACGAACAACAAACAGTCTTCTTGAAAAACCCAATAACAGGATTGATTCTCCAATATTCAATCTTGTCGCTTTCTTTATCTTGCCACCTATCAAGTGTTTTTATAGCTTGATTTATCTCGTACCTTGGGTAGTCTTGCCGCACACACCGTCGATAATACTTGATTACAATTTACAATTTACAACCTTTTTACAACTCCACCACCATCACCTACCCTAGCACGCACAGGATACCTCAGCCTTCCTTGCATCACAGATCGGCCGGAAAGTCAAACTTATACATTTTGACGCGATCGAGTTATCCTTTCAATATCGACTGCCTTTACCAAATAGCCCGCAATAGGAAGAGGATATAATCTCCTCCGCACAGCTCGTAAAAGATGGTAGAAGGGGAACCGAACTCTCCAACTTGGAAGTTCACTCAGTTAGTATACTCCTGCCATTGTACTCTTGTTTATCTGCCACTCGGGAATCCATGGATGAGGGGTTCTCAATGTGTTTGGTGGATTGATTGCACTACCGCTTTGAAATCAATGCTAACAAATTGTTATCAGATGTTTTGGTGATAAAGGCGATGTCGAAGATATAACAGAAGGTATGCCAATTTATTGATCCGTATCTTGATGGCGCTTTTCGCTTTCTGCGGATAGTGCAAACTTCTTTCTACAATTGCTAACACGACGGGTTACAGCGGATATCATATCGACAGTCGAATTCGATCACACCGGAAATTACCTTGCTACGGGAGACAAAGGTGGACGTGTTGTTCTTTTTGAAAGGAATGAGACGGTACGAATTTCAATCTCTGGTCTAGACCGTGCAAGTCGCCGAAATGCTGACGCTATCATAGAAAAAAACATGCGAGTACAAATTCCACACAGAATTTCAATCTCACGAGCCCGAGTTCGATTACCTCAAGTCATTAGAGATAGAAGAGAAGATCAACAAGATCAAATGGTGCAAACGACAAAACGCCTCTCATTACCTACTCTCAACGAACGATAAGACTATAAAGTTATGGAAAGTGTTTGAGAAGTCACTGAAAGTTGTTGCAGAGAACAATCTTTCCCACGATTTGACTCCAGGAAATCCTGCAGGAGGTGGTGGAGGTGTTCGACCCATATCAAACGTTCACTTCAACAGTGCTCACGACCTGAAATTACCCCGCCTTACTCATCACGACACTGTTGTTGCCGCAGTACCACGTCGAACATATGCAAATGCACATGCATACCATATCAACAGCATTTCAGTGAACAGTGACGGGGAAACATTCATTAGCAGTGATGATTTGCGAATAAACTTATGGAACTTGAATATTCAAGACCAAAGCTTCAATATCGTAGATATCAAGCCCGCCAACATGGAGGAGCTTACTGAAGTCATCACGGCTGCAGAGTTCCACCCCCAAAGTTGTAACTGGTTCATGTACGCAAGTTCAAAAGGAACAATCAAGCTTGCAGATATGAGAGAGAGCGCTCTCTGCGACCAACACGCAAAGCGTAAGTTTCATGTCGTTGTCCTTTGAATTCAACTTTGCTTACACCGTCTTTAGAATTTGAACAGGAAGAAGATCCCTCTGCTCGATCGTTTTTCTCGGAAATCATTTCATCCATTTCTGACGTCCGATTCTCTCATGATGGTCGATACATCCTTTCACGTGATTATCTCACTGTCAAAATCTGGGATGTTAACATGGAGAGACAACCTGTCAAGACTATTCCGATCCATGAGCATCTTCGACCACGTCTTTGCGATACTTATGAAAATGATAGTATCTTTGACAAGTTTGAGGTAGTGTTCTCTGGTGACGCTAAGAATGTCATGACTGGTAGTTATAACAATAACTTCATGATCTATCCATCAGATCCCGATAAGGAAGTGGAGGTGGTTCTCCAAGCCGATAAATCGGCTTTCAAGGCTAAGAAGGTTGGTGTTCCAACACCAATCAACCCATCTGGTAGCCCAACCGCCGCGAATGGTAAAAAGGGCAACTCTAGGGCAGGTAGTCCAGCTGCTGGTGTCGGTGGTCAAGGTGGAAGGATGAAGAAAGAAACAGACGCAGACCAAATCGACTTCAATAAAAAGATATTACATATGAGTTGGCATCCTTTCGAAGACAGCATTGCCATTGCTGCAACGAACAACGTAAGTAGTAAATATTCGATCACCCTAAGCATCTACTAACTATCTATTTAGCTTTTCGTTTTCTCCGCATTGTAGAAATTGGCAACACGCGGAAGCTGTCTTCAGGTCATATTCCATTTGCGTTTTAAGTGTGTACTGGCTACAGCAACCAGCCCAGCGTTGTCCTTGAGACCTATTCATATTCGTGGCATAGTTAATTTTATGTCACGAAGAAAGTATTATCATTGAGTAGCGAGACTGCTACACTCCATAAGTGTTGCAATAGAGGGTGACGCAGAAATAAGCGGGGGCTGGTGAGTTATCTTTTGGAGACTGTTTCTTTCTCCAATTACCTGAAGCTCTTACAATAGTTTTCAGGTTAAGTTGTTCAAGGCAATGGTGTGAGATGTGCCTAGAAGCAACTTTTTGATGATCGAAGTAGCCTAGTGTAGCCTAGTCTAAATCACAAATGAATAATACATGAAGTTCTGAATTAAACATATGTTTGTCAAGCTGATGGCTAGACCGGGTTTCCTTTCAGTCCACGATCACAACATGCCCCCCCTCCTGTTCTACGGTCAAAGTGATAGACAGTAGAGTGAACGCGCCAGAGCCGAACCGAATTCATATGTCACGTGATAATCCCCGCTAAACCCACCCGTACAACGGAACGGATCAATCCTTACCAAAAAAAAAGTTCGTCAAGAAATTTAATCCACAGAAGCTTCAGACCTCCAACCTTCAACCACCGACAATCCACACAACTCCAAGTCTCAATCCCGTATGTATGTTCCCTAATCACTTCAATCGCCCTGGCCATTTTCTCTATTGATCTCTCCTGTGCAATTGATTTTCTATCGCGCACGCGCTAACAATTGACCATCAGATTTTACCTCGACTCCCCGAAAACTCAGCACCCGCACCAAACGTAGAAACTCTCATCAAAATGCATCTTATGTACACCCTCGACGCAGCTGGAAAGCGCAAGTATACTTTGAAGAAAGTGATTGGAGGCGAGGTTACCAAGAGTGCGCATCCAGCCAGATTCAGCCCGGATGATAAGTATTCGAGACATAGAGTTACGTTGAAGAAGAGATATGGATTGCTTTTGGTGCAGCAGAGTGAGTGGTGTTTTTTTTAGTTATTGTGTTTTGTGTTTGGGGTTTGGGGTTGGGGTTTGGGGTTGGGGTTGGGATTGCGATCGCGATTGGAGGATTTCGGGGGTTATGGGGGAAGGGGAAGAGAAGGGAGATGGGAGATGGGATCGGAGATGCAATTGGAGGTAGAATTGGATGAAAGGAGCAATTGCTAATACGTGCGCAATCAGAGGATCTCAAGGTTTTGGGCCAATAAATATCTCTCACCACTTCTTGAGGTACAGATGGGGGGCTACCTACTTGACATGAGTAGCAGGCGAAGCGAGAGAAGAAGGGGAAAATGACAAATATGTGCATAACGCGCGCTGTGTCCAATCGACAAAATGTGTAGGAAGGGAAAGGCAGGGCTGAATTGAATAATTGGCTGCGAGAATGCTCAAGCTAGTGGATGGAATGGAATGGGTGGTTGAAAGGGAATGTGCGGAGTATACTGGCGTTTCTGGACGAGGGATTCTTGTATCTATCTTTCGGTTCTTCGTGCGCAAGAGAAAGAGGGAGAGAAAGTTCAATCTCTGTTAGTGGTAGTAGGGGACGAAGGAATTGCAATTCCACGCCCCTCTTCACTCGCTATAGAGATGAAATTGTTTTTCTAGCCCCAAATCGAGGAATTTCACAATTTCAAAAGCATGCTTGTTATGAATCTATAAAAACTGTGTTTGGTGCGAGTACTCGAGTCAATTTTGGGGGGGAATCAATTTTGAGATTACTTTTACTAATTCTATTCTATCTAATGTCGTTTCCTTGAATTGACATTCTTGCCCGCTCCAACTTTTGGTCTTCCACCAGCTCTTCCACGATCTCCCGTCAAGATACTAGGTAGATAATCTTCATCCATAAGATCCTTTTCCTTGCGCCTCTTCTCCGTCGCCATTTCCCTCACGTATTCTTTTTGATCCTCCGCCAATATCAAATCATTACCCCATCCTCCCTTGCCACCTCCTTTGATATTCTTTCCATTCGCCGTCCCGGCAACTGGCTTTGGGACACTGTATACATTTCCTCTGTTATTCCACTGCATATTTTTCTTGAGATGGATTTTCACCACTCCGTCTTTATCTGTTGAGCAGGAGGTACGGAGGAGAGTAGGTTTGCCGCAGCGGGAACAGAATTGTCGGGTCATTTCTCGAGTGATGGAGAAACAGGCGTGGCATCTTAGAACCCAGGTTTTGAGCTGGCGAATGCGTTGGAGAGAGGGGGAGAGGAGGTTGAGGTTCATGCGTAACATGACGTTTTGCATGGCGTAATCGGTGGTGATGGTTGCTACTTGGATGGTTTTGGATTCTTCTTGGGGGGAGAACGAGGAGTTTGTGTCTTTTTGTTGGTGCTTCTTTAGGTTGGAGGGGGTGATCCAGCCTTCGCCGTCGGATTCGGCGTCGGATTCGGAGGCGGGAACTTCTTCTATTGTTTCTGGAATGGTTTCGGGCTCTGTTGTGGAAGTTGGTTCTTGGGTTTGTTCCTCTGTGACTCCGTCTTTGGTCGATGCTTCTGTGACTGCGTCCTCTGCTGGTTCCTCTGCGCTCTTTGCATCATCGGCTGTTGATATATGGGTAGCCTCTAATGCTTCCTCAATGGGCTGTGTCTCCACTTTAGATTCTTCTGTTGCTTGAGGTATTGATGTTCCCCATGCGCCTCTGGTTTCGATTGCTGGTTGCGCCGCGGCATCTGTAGATGTTTGTGGTGCCTCTGTGACATCGGCAGGTCTTTCGCCACTCAATGATGCGGGAGGTGCTCCATTTAATCTCTTCTGTCCTGGTACACTTCGTAATCTCCAATCTCCATGATTTCGTTCACATTCAAGCTCATATGCTAAAGCCATCAAATGAATATCTTGTCTGCTGAGTACTTCCAAATCACCCGTTTTCCGCGCGAATTCAGTTATAACTTTAATGCTAGCTGATCTAGGCGCTCTTAATTTGAGAAAAGGTAATAATGTGGTCTCGAATCTGGCTCTTGTAACGGCATCTTTGATTTCGTCGATAACGAGGGGGATAGTATAAAGGTTTTCTGCTTGGCCAAGAAGCGTTGACACTGAAGGGTCATTCTTAATAATTGGTCCCGCGTCAATGATAAGACTATGTATGGGTTTGGTAGTATTTGTAGCCATTTTGAAGTCTACAATCTCGAGGATGCTGATTCTCTGTGTAATGCAATGCAATTGTCATGGCGGGGTGTGCGATAAAGATTATCGAAAAAAAAATAAGATACTGCCGGGCGGTATCGATAAGCGAAAAAGATATCGAGGCACGTGATGTAATTCCCTTCTCTAGTGTTTGAGCGGAAAATTTTGTTCATCTTGAAAATTTATTCAAGAAGATTTCCTCAACTTCAACTCCAATTTTTGATATTTTTGATATTCATAGACCGTGGAGTATTTCTCTCTTTAACTACGAACTCCAAAAAATTTAATTTTGAATCCAAATCCAACAATTTCGATTCCCAAACCCCACATTTTCAACCTTCAAAATGTTCTCCAACAACTGGCGCGTTAAGCAAGACACTCCTCAAAGCCCAAGCGGCGAAGAGAGAGTATCTCCTTGGTCCTCTTCAAGAAATCGTGGAGTTGGTGGTAAGGATGGTGGTGATCGACCATCTCAAGGCCAGGGGAGATTTTCTCGAAACGAGGCAGGTGACTCGCCAAGAAAATCTTCACAACTCACAGAGTCGGACAAGGCTATTGAGGAAGGTCGTCGCATTTACGTTGGTAACTTAAGTTACGATACCACCCCAGAGGACATTGAAACCATTTTCCAAGATGTTCCACGTGAATCTCGAACTGTTCATATGTCCATCGATTCCATGACAAAGCGCAACCCTGGTTACTGTTTCGTTACTTTCACCACCAAGGATATGGCTGAGGAGGCTTTGAATCGTTATGACGGTCAAGAATTCAAAAACCGTACACTCAGAGTTAAGCCTGGTGTGAGATCAGACCGTGAGTGAATCTCCAAGCATTGAATTTTTACCTGTCACCAAATTTATACCGCAACTCCTTAAAACTGTCACTAACAAAACACAGGTAGCACTCGTCCACAAGGAACCTCGTCAGAGACTCCTCTTTACACAAACGACCGCTGGAAGAGCTCTGACAGAGAAACTTCCCAGCGTCCAGAACGTCAAGTAGACTCTTCTTCTCAGGATGGTCGAAGACTTTACGTTGGAGGACTACCAAGAATTGATGATCAAGAAACAGCAAACCGCAAGATCAGAGAAATCTTTGAAGGTTTTGATGTTGAAGTTGTTAGCAAGTTGATCTCTCCACACCCTTCCAAGGTTGAGGAAGGTGGCAACCACTATTACTGTTTCGTTGATCTTGCCAACAATACTCAAGTCAATGATGCAGTTAAGATGTTCGATGGCAATGAGTGGGGTCTTAAGGTCAGTCGTGCGTCCGGAGGAGCCTCAGGAAAAGTTGTTGAGAAGCAAAGAATCTATGTCGGTGGTTTACCAGATTTCGGAGACGAGGCCGCAACCGAGGCAGAGATTAGAGAGCTTTTCAGCGAGTATACTGTTAAGTGGGTCAGCAAGTTGTGCTCCCCAAGAGAACCAAGAGAGGGCAATAGCCATTTCTGCTTCGTTGAATTACAAGATAGTCAAGAAGCTGATGGAGCTATCGTCAATTTGGATTGGTCTGAGAAATGGGGTGGAAAGATCAGAGTCAAGCCTAGTTTGTCCAACGCTCAATCCAAACAAGGAGAAACTCCAACCAGAGGATGGAGAGGAAAGAGTGACAGAGAGTAAGCATGATATGGTATCATCCAATCAGATATACCAACCTTAAATAGTTTGCATACCTCGCGCTTCAGTTATGATATGTATTAGCGATTTGCATACATCAGACTGCTAATGGGACATTTGATGTCATATCCACATTTCTTGAGTAACAAGATCTGTCAATGGCTACGATACACTTGCATAAATATTAGTTTCATACCCAGCTGCGGCTGTAATTTGCTGGATGCAAATAGGCTAGCAGGCGATACCCAATCTGAATACAAATATATTCAAATTACTTTCCTGTGCTATGTGTTCTGAAGATGACAATGTGTTAGATTAATAACACCGTCTCATGCATGATTGAAAAGGTACCTTCGTAGTTCCTTCACATTCTTGAACACCATTTCCTTGACGAGTGTTGATTTCATCCAGTCTCACGTGGGTAATTTTGGAACTTTATATAGTGGGAATACAAATCTCTTGCCAAGTCACGTTCTTTTCACAGTTCTGGTTTTCCAATACTTCAAGTTGTTCCAAGGAAGAACATTGCATTTTCAACTTTCAAGGTGGTGGATGCCTCACTGGATTGTTACGGGAGGAAAAGAGTTGAGCGACTCCTGCCTTGTATAGGTAATAGAAGGTTGTTTCCCCATACACACATGTATGGCAACCCATCTCAATGATCAACTATCATTTTAGTTTCTCCATACCAAATTCGTACTCCAAATATCAAGATTATTTCCAACTGTGTATCCCCACTCTCAAGATTCTTGTAATCGCCAATCGGAAATGATTTACGAGCACGTATTGGATCACCTTCAGCTTTCTTCAATCGGCAGGAAATTTACGTGCGATTATTTTCTTCCTCTTTTTTTTTGTGGATATGGCGTTCCTCAAAGTCTTGATCGAGTTAATCAAAATTTACTCTTGGGTTTTCACCAGGTTCGAGATCAAGCCCAAGGGCGGAGGCACCTTGACAAAGAATCTCCATCAACTAACGAATCCGGATTTGATTTTCAGGGTATTGTAAACAGCAATGGACCTCGACTAAGATATCCCACTGGTCACAGTCTAAACAAGTGAAACATACTGTCCTACATACGAAATTAGTTATCCAGATCACAACGACCTTTCAAACTCACATTTTAAAGCGATCGAAGCTGAATATCTTCAACGCCTTGCATTGGCGTCCGCAGATTATATAGAGCAATATTACATGCAATATTACATTACCACCATTAGGACAGTCTCCATCAACGTGTGCATTTGCAAACTCATTTGCCAGTACACCTAGTTCTTCGGCAAAATTAGGGGACCTAGAGAAAGTACGTTCAGAAATAAATCGCCCTAAGGCAATTACTTGATACACTTAGCCTTTGACTTTACGTCTGCTATCTCCAATAATTCCATTACGAAGACACGATCGGAAATCACTTATTTCGAGATCATAGATCTGTTGCCCAACCTTTCTACCAGCACTTATAATAATTCTTTCATAATTCCATTATAGTAAGACAATTGCCTCACAAACCCAACACTTTAAAATCTCACCTTTCATTCATGAATTCAGGGAGACTCAGTCCCTGGCTGGGAGAGTTCCTTGATTCTGCAGTCACAGAAACTTTAGACGACCGACCAGTTATTACTATTGTATGACTAATTCTGAGCAGAAATCTCGATGATGAGCATAGGTTAGTAATGACCGAGATACATGCTCCTAAGTTATGCCTTTTATTCGTTTCATCTGCAAAATGGTGCGTTGCAGTAGTTTCTTAGGAACATCAATGATTCGCTTGTTTTTGATCAGTGATTGGCATTATTTAGCGATGTATATGTAACTTCCTTTGTGTATATTTGAAAAGTACCACAGCAGTGGAAATATTTAGCTTAGAAATAAGATATTTCTCCTCCAGCAGTATCCGGAATACACAATTCTCTATTACGTATACAATACTAAAAAAAATCATGATATTCCTCCCAGTCTCCGAGGTTTGAAGTAACCAGCCAGCAGAAGTACCAATGTACACACTATCTTAAACACCCAAGCCTGAATAAAGAATCACAAAATGCCTCATCACAAAACATAACCCCAGGTTAGCAAACAAACTCCTCTACAATATCCAGGCACCCTTTTTGGCGATATCCCAACTGTTGATCTGTAGTCAAAAATGGACATACCGAGCGCTATCAATTGAATTAGATCAACGTACAGTCTTCAATACAACTTCGCTTCAGTGGGTGTATAGAATATAGAAACTGTGTCGCTCTGGTACTATTCTGTGGGGGTGACATCACATGGGAATGATCGAGCTGCTGTCTCCAGAGCATTTGGGTTGGCTTGGAGGGTGTTCATTAGCATGAGCATGAGAATCATCGGGAGGAATCATAATTAGGGTTATAGTTCCACTTCTGTCGGAGTGTCGAATACCTCAGATTATCATCTTCAAAATCACAATTCATGCATGCTTCACAAATTGTCTTCAAAAGAGGCAGTTAATAGTAATGTTTTCTGGTGCAGTCATTATATGTCATACTTCATATTCATAACACGTATCTTAAAACCTCATAAGTATGCATCTAGCTCAACCTGCAAAGAATTCCTTGTGCCGCAAATATTTGAGATAGCGATCATTTCGCAAACTGAATTGTGATGTGACTCTCTTCTTCCGTTCCTGACTCCCATCCCGATTTTTTCGTTCCTATCTAAACCCCTCCCAGACGTTGTGTTTTCCCATTTTACCTATCATAAATTCACAACCTTAATTAGCCTCCATCCCCTCCTTCGCAACCCCCAAAACATCCCACACCAAGCCAGATAGCTCCCTCAGCCCCATCCCCAACCTCTCCGCATAAACCTCGCCCAATCCACTAGCATCCTTTCCCCTAGCCGATGTTTTCAACGTCCTCCCTACCTCTCCATCTCCCCTCTTCTCCTGAATACTCTCCACATCCGTAATATCCACCTCCACTCCCCTCATAACCCCACTTTGTTTTCCCCAGCATCTGTTTCCTGTCTCTCTTAATCCATACATAACCAACTGACACGTACTAATCCAGTCGATATTCTTTAGACTCCCTCGCCTTCCTTTGTTCAGGTTCTCCGTCTCCCATTTCCCGAACTCTTCTGGGTCCAAGCTTGCAAGGAATTTACACAATCGTTGTAATGCTAGTATCCTAGTAACACGTTGCGGATGATATGGACTTGGGTAATTAAAGGGATCAGCTTGAATGATCAAAAAAATTAGTACGATAAGCGCAGAGATATAGTCCTCTTTTTCTAGATAAATAAGATAGATTTCATTAAGGACTGTTGGTAAAGGTTGTTGCGCGTAACGCTGTAAGAGGATGAAATCATTTAAATTCCTTAAAGCTTTATTGAAAAACTCTAGACGTCGGTCAATATTCTGGTAGATTTTATGAGCATTTGAGATCGTAACTTCGATATGTCGTAATACATGGAGTAGAGAGAAGAGCCTGGTGATTGTCTCTGGATTTTCGTCTGCTACTCTAGCCTTTGCAAACTTGTAAGTTTCTTGGAAATTGACGAGCTTATCAAGTACAGGCGTTGAAACCATGGGATAATCTACGAGATCACCATATATACTTTGGAATATTGTGCAGCGAGAACAAAGGCATTGAAAAAACCAAGTTTTCGCCAAGGCTTCTCGTCGAACTTCTCGTCGTTGTGTTTCGTCGATATAGGATATGAATATTTGCTCTCCTTTTGCGATAGGAGAAAGAGCTCGGAGGGTAGCACGCTTTCCATCGAATGTTATAGCTGAGTTTGGGTGACAGCGATGATTAGCGCGTGCCAGCAGGGGATCAAGACATAGTCCAATTGGACCATTGCCAATATTAGATTCGACACGAAACCCATTAGTAGAGAGCTGCAGGTCTGTTTTAGCAGAGATAAAATCAAATATGGAGGGTTGTACTTACCCGACAGAGAGACTCAAGAGCATATTTGACAAATTCTGGTTTCCGTTGAAGAAGATTCACTACACCATGGGCTTGTAATGATATATCATCCCATTTTGATTGGACGCTTCTGAGGTCGTCCTCGTGAGATTCAAGGTCCATTAAAGGTGAATCTTTTGCCAATACTGCCGGGTTGCTAACCAATTGGATGGTACCACGCACAGCTGTAGGAAGCATCTTGTTTAAAGAGTTCCCAAGACTTTGCGATTGGATGGCCTTGCATTGTTTCTCATGATGTGAGCGGTCTAGGTCTTCGCATTTTTTACCGCAGTAATTCACTGCCTTGCAGCCAATACAGTTCAAGGTTGCTTTTTTCAACCGACAATTTGAATAAGCACAGGCAGTATTTGTTACGGCTTGAGCGCTGATCTGTGATCTAGAATGTTCAAATGGCTTTCTTGATTTGAAAAGGTCACATTCTGCTCCGTGGGAACCCTCGGAATTCAGTGACAACTTTTCGCAATCACCACAACAAAAATTGACAACACCGCAACTCGAGCAGGGCTGTAGCTCCACTCCTTCTCCTGCTTCTAGAAAACAATTGGCGCACACTCGATGCAGTGCCTGATTCTCGGCAATCAATAAAAGGGGTTTTTGTATGACAATGATAGAATCTCCAGAATTTAAATCGACTGTTGAAAAGAGGCCATTTCCCAGGTCTTTTGCCGTGCCAATTATTGTATAGTCTATGTCCATTTGACTGGATTGTGTTTTTTTATGGGGTACGGTTCTTGAAGGACTTGGGTGTGCTTTTTGAATGATGGTGGAATCTGGCTGACCTATTTTGACCTTTAATCTAGTCTAGATACGGTTTGGTGCTTCCGATCTAAACCCCGCAACTGCATAGAGAAAGATCTAACAATTCCTCATCAAGAATCCTGAAGACATGGCGTTGAACAGATTCACCGTCCATGGCCGACTTTCATTCTTTTACCATGATAGACCACAATTCTCGGCCTTCATTTAAAGGGCCAGTGAATGTTCTAAGAAGTGAAATTCTCGAAAGGAATTACCTAGGCTAGGATTGAATAAATTGTATTTACCTTATCGCTTAGATAACAAAACAAATGATTGGTTGACTGCAATATACAATACTACAACTTTGGAAATCATTGTACATTCGTCACCTCAACTTTTTGAAAAGGCAATTGGAACTCTCAAAGTCGGCAAAAGGCCAATGTTAAGCAGAGTTGGAGTTGGCGTTGGAGTTTGGAAGCCCTCGCCGTTAGTTTGGGAATCAATTAGGCATTCTTCAACGTTCCTGTCTTATTCTTTTCTGAATTGTAGCAACTGAGTATTTGGCAGCGATCTCTTCTTTAGCATCACACTGACACTTGTTTGTATCTTCTCATCAGAGTTAACCAGGCCCGGTTGTAAAAGAGCAAGAGCTGATTGAGTAGTTAAAACATATATATAAAGGAAGCCATATTCAGTTCATTAGCCAACACATGATCTGATCTAACCAAGTACTTCATGGACTTTCTTGAGTTGCAATGACCTTGCGGATACATCACCCAGTATTCAATCTACCCTTCGTATTAGACAGATTCAGATGTATCTATTGCAGTGAAAGAACAGCCTGGCTTTACAGTGATACTTGCTGCTCAGTTCCGGACCTGGATATGGAACATTCAACTGCTGCCCATTGGACTCGCGATTGTGGAAGTAATATCTGGAAAGATATGGTGGCTCATGAGCTGTTCAAAGGATCAAAGTATTCAAAAACAGATTGCAGTTGCATACATGAGATATGCATTCCAGTATCATCTTCGACTTCAAGAGACATATCACCGCGGATGATAATGATGAAAACCACAAAATAGATATGGAAAATGAAAGAAAAGAGAGACCACTTACTTCCTGTCGATAAATTGATTGTTTTCATCCTTTCAACCACCTCCACTCCTGCTATGTAAGGTATATACAGCAAGTACAGCAAGTACAGTCAGTCAATGTTTTATGTTATCGAGACTCGAGTATCATGGATTGATTGAATCTGAAATCATGCGGGGGTGGACTGAGCTCTAAAAAGCAACAGGGTAGCGCTAAACCCATTCTGTACAAGCTTATCGAAGAAACAAAAATCGAAATAATATTTTTGGCCATCAAACTCAACATCACAACAATCTTCATTTTTGCCCCTCATTAAATAGAAATCTCTCATTAACCCGATTTCTCCTAACAAATCCGCAAATATGTAAGTTCACATGTAGCAATTTCATTATTTACAACTCAAAACTAATGATTGCTGAAGGCATTTCGTCCGTCGTGCCGCTCTCAGAGCTGCTTCCAACGCCTCTTTCGTTTCTAAACCTCGCACCATCAACACTACTTCCCCATTCGTTGTCAGAGCATCAAACGAGAGAATATCAACAGCAGTATTCCGAAGATTTGCAAGTGATGATGCACATGCCAGAGAAGAGAACGAAGATGCACAAGAGGAAGGAGCCGTCCGATCAGCTATCAATTCCGCCGCAGAGACCGTCTCAGAGTATGCCTCAGAGGCCAAGGAAACCGTTGCTCAAGCAACTGGATTCGGATCCAGAAGCGTTGGCTTTGGTAACAGGGACATAAACGTAGATCGTCTTAACATTGAGCCTAACAATGGTGTCTACATTGGTAACTTGTTGTTCGACATTACCGAAGAGGATCTTAAGAAGGAATTCGAGCACTTCGGAACCATTACCGATGTTAGAGTCACTAGAGATGCTAGAGGTTTGAGCAAGGGGTAAGTACTCGATATGTTGCTACTTTTTATAAACTATAATTAACAATATCTTCAGATTTGCCTACATTGACTTCGCAGATGTTCAGTCCGCAACTGCAGCCATTGAAGGCAAGAACCAAACTATCTTTGAGGGCCGAAGACTTGTTGTCAACTACGTCAACAGAACACCAAAGATCAGAGATCAAAACCCACCTTCCAAGTGCCTCTTCATCGGAAACCTCGCCTTCGAGATGTCTGATGCCGATTTGAACAGCTTGTTCCGCGAGGTTAGAAATGTCATTGACGTTCGTGTTGCTATTGATAGACGCACTGGACAGCCAAGAGGTTTCGCCCACGCAGACTTTGTTGATGTTGATAGCGCCATGAAGGCTCTTGAACAATTACAAGGAAAGGAGGTCTTCAACCGAAAACTGAGAGTTGATTACAGTCTTGGCGAGAGAAGCGCTGGAGGCCGTGAGCGCAACGACCGTGGATTCGGCAACAATGACCGTGGTGGACGTGGATCATACGGTGGTGGACGTGGAGGATATGGTGGTGACCGTGGTGACCGTGGAGGATATGGTGGTGACCGCGGTGGAAGAAGCTCATCATTCTAAGGAGAAGGCTGAATATTTGGGTGTTATGTTGACTAACGGGCGAATCGATTAACGAATGATCGAATGAATACTTTGTATGACGAGTTTGGGTAGGCGTTAGTCATCTATTAGAGGTGTATGGGAAGTCTCAAAAGTTGCTGGACCTTCTATGCAGCTTTACTTTTATGGACGCTTCCTCTTTTTCCACCTTGTATTATAACCCTCAGAAGCTTATTCGGTCGTAATATAAAGGCTTTGATCTGATCAGGCATGACGACTTGAAGATCTGAATCACAGTAAGAAATTATACAAAATTCCACTCAGTGCATCTTACAGAGTGTAACTCTTTTTATTCAATATATACAATTTTATGCCTCTCGCCACTTGCTACATACCTCAGCACCGCATATCTTATTAGTATGTGATATATATTATGTGATATCTGTTGATGCTATATGTTGCCTACTTAATAATCGTTTTCCGATTCAACTCCAAAGGCCAAAGTTACTTTGATCCAATACATACCTATTCAGTCAGCCCAACTCGTTTGTATACAGAAAGATCTCGAAAAAGAATTGAAAAAACAAAACATGTGACCCCTCACGATACAACAGTACAGAGCTGCACTCTAATCGGTGTTTGTGTTGTTCAACCGAGGTGGTCCGATTGAATTTCTAATGTACCGCGACCCCACAGTTCATCCACGTTCTCATGCATGTTAAGTATTCTCCTGCATCCACTCGACCATACCAGTCACGAAAACAATTATTAAACATCCACCTGGTGATCTATCATAATTACAAAGAATCTTAATTCCTTCTTGTATAATATATTCCTGTCTAATTACATTCCCATCAGAAGTCATCTCTTGAATAGTAGACGAAACTTTTAGCATTACGATCACTAAATAAAGTGACAACGCAAACGGCAAAGAGCGAACCTATCATTACGAGTTACAAGAGATATAAAATCGATTTTAATCAGCCATGTCTTTCATGGGCGGTGCAGAATGCTCGACAGCAGGAAACCCTCTCAGTCAATTCACCAAACATGTTCAGGATGACAAGAGTTTACAGAGAGATAGATTGGTCGGTAGAGCGCCTGGAGGCGGTATGCAGGGCATGCGCTCCGGTATGAACATGAACGGAAGTCAAGATCATGTAGGTAATTCAGGATAATACACCTTTGTCACCGCGGTGTATCTCTCGAGGATGTTGTTTACTGATTTGCAAATTGGCAGATGATGAACGATTTTATGCAACAGAATGGTCAACTCCCACCAGAAGCTTTCGCTATGCAACATGATCTTCATCAGAACGCGCAAATGAGAAATGGATCTCAATCTCCAGCTGTTGGAGGATGGGCTCAGGAGTTCAATCCTGGAATGCCAGAGCAGGCAATGATGGAGGCGGCGTTCCAAGCTCCCAAAGGTACAGCATTCAGTCCTGCGGATTTTGCTAGATTTCAACAGATGGGCCAATCAAGCTCCGCGCGTTCTGCGAGTCCTATGGCACAAAATATGTCGAATGGTTACTCATATCAAGGTCCTCAAATGGGTATGGGCATGGGTATGGGAATGATGGGCATGAACAGGATGGGTATGGGCATGAATATGATGAATCAACCACAGTATCAACAACCTGCGCAGGATTTACAACAAGACAAAGGAAAGGGGAAGATGGTTGAGCTCGACGATCAAAATTGGGAAGAGCAATTCAAGCAGATTGATTTGCAAGGAAAGGAGCTCGAAGAGAGTTTGGCGGCGGAAGGAGAATTAAATGAAATGGATAGGTCAGTCCTTGAATCCGAAACCAATGAATTTGGGGATTTTGAATCTATTTGGAAGGGCATACAAGCTGAAAATGCTGCTGCTAGGGAAATGGCCGGCGAACAAAGCCTAAACGGTATGAACATCAGCGAATTCGATCAATGGGACGGATTTGATGCTGTAGGAACACATCAATCACCATTCCGCGACCCACAACTCGGAGATTATATGTTTGAAAACGAGAACCTGTTTAAAGATATCTCCAACCCATTCGATGAGGGTGTGCGGATAATGCACGAGGGAGGTAACTTATCTCTCGCTGCACTAGCTTTTGAGGCCGCCGTACAAAAGGATCCCCAGCACGTCGATGCATGGGTATTATTAGGTTCAGCACAAGCCCAAAATGAAAAGGAAACACCGGCAATTCGAGCGTTAGAACAGGCTTTGAAAGTTGATCCTATGAATCTTACAGCCCTTATGGGCCTAGCAGTTTCCTACACAAACGAAGGTTACGATAGTACCGCTTATCGTACACTTGAGCGTTGGCTCTCCATCAAATATCCATCTATCATTGAACCAGGCGCCCTGTCTTCTGAGAATGACATCGGCTTCACTGACCGACATC